CCCCAGCATGATCGACCTGGCGGATTCATGTGATTCCCAGTTGTCAGTTGTGGAACGGACCAACTGGTGCAGGGTGTCATTCCCCGAAAAGTGATCCGGATCAGGGGCTCATTCACACTGAATAACCAAGCACCAAAAAAACTCACGACCCTAGAAATCACTCACGCTCCCAAAAAACCAGACGACTTGGGGCACCCCTTTGGCAAGGCTAGTGCCAAGGGGCCAATTAACCGCAAATTGTCTACCCCCAACAAACTATCCTTAGTCAGGCCCATACATACTGTGGGTGGACGAAATCCAACTCGCACCACCTAAGAAAGCCAGCCCTGCAAGTATGATTCCCCGCTTGCGTGCTGCTAACCGACGAGGGGCCACTCGGTTCATCCGCGCCGAATCGGGGGAACTGCTGGCCTCCTGGCGAGATGGGCTTTGGGCTCGGCCCACATCTGGGGTACACAGAAATTAATATTTTCAGATTTGGGTGTCTTTTTTTGACGGTACCGCCTTTTTGGGGCTTCCTCTATTTTTTAAAACAATGTCCTTTTTAGCCAACCTCAAAGAGACACAATATTAGCTGACGAGACCCCTGCAGTGAAGCTAAATCCCCTTTGGGGGGCCATTCCGGAGGTAAAGGGAACCAGCCAGTTTCTTTGAATGTTGCAGGTGAACCAAACCACATCCAGCCACAAAACCCTGGTACAAAAATCTCACTTGAATAAAGTGCGGTGATGCCAGAAACATGGATTCAGAGGCGCCCTGATGTCTTGACCAGTCGGATCTCACCCGCTGCAAAAAGTCTTAAACGTCTAGAATGCTGCGTGCTGTAAGGCTCATGCCGCTCCTCTTCATATGGCACGCAGCGGAGGAAGGATATGAATAAAAAAACTGATTTCGGATTAGTCGTCCGGAAGGCCGTGCTAATCAAGTGTAGCTCTCCTTTCCTCACTATTTGAGTGGATTGGCCAGACAAAGGTCAAATACTTTTCGTTTACCACTAAAACGGCCTTCCCAAGACGTCCAAAGTCCAGGAACTCAGGCAGTGAGTTTCATGAAGGACATGACCTATTGCAGGGTGCAGGGGTAGGTGTAGTAAGTTCAGTCCTCCGACCAGGCTGCTCCGGATTCCGAAGGCATGAGAGCGACGCGTCTTTTGCGCAGTATCATATGCATGGGCGCTTCTACAAAACTCAAGACCCATGGAGATGAATCGCCAGGTCTTAAAAAATCTAAGGCAAAGGGCTTCTGAAGAACCTGCCAGACCTATGCTTTCAACCACAGCGGGTTCCTTGTGCACATGTCTCACTGCGTGAAATAAGCCAAAAATCACAGGGCACATTCTGCATTCCTCAGTCAAGGGGCCCTCTAGGTCTGGTTGCTTGAATATATGGTTCGTCAACTTGTGTCAAAATCGGAGCCCCCCACAAAAACCTGGTGGTTTTCCCAAACAGGTTCTGCCCCAAAATAGGGGGACACCCAAGCTAGGTGATGTTCTTTTGGTTTCCCGTTAAACCAATTAAAAAAAAGGGTACCCTCCAAAAACAGACAGATTAAATGTTGCAACCAGCCCCTGGCATCGTCTCCTTCTTCTCCTCCGCTGCCATCGGTACCAGGCGCTGCACTGGCTTGCCGCCGCCGCGAGGGCCGCGGGAGAAGACCAGGGCGGCCAAGGCTCCTGCGATGCACCACCATGTGGTATCTTTTTCTGGCGGTACCATGCGTTGGGCTTGTTTTCAAGGAAAACCAAGGGACAACCACCCATTTTTTCGTGTGATTATTTGGAGACGTTTGTTGGGGTCAGGGTGCCTTCAAACTCGACTACCAAGCAGCATGGTTTCCCTTTTTTCCTCATATGGAAGCTGACGTTCGGGGGGTGCTGGAAAACCATTTTCCCTTCAAAGGGACCCCCTGCCAGGTCCACGTTAAGTGGTGGGAGGGTACGGCTTGTCTTTGAAAGGGGTCACTTGATTGAAACATGCCAGTTAGTCTTCCATGTGCTTAATATCATTTTATCTTCCCCTGCTTTAAAGCCCCAACTTTTGAAGGGCACTCAGGGACCCCTGTTGGTTAGGGAACAAGACGACTAACACAAACAGGTTGCTACAAGTGGCTATTTGAATTACTGCTATTCCAAGAAAAAAGCGGTGCGTCTAACATTCTGCAACCATAAACGGTGGCTATATGGCCCTGCTGCTAGCGGTTTGGGTTTGGGCGTACTCTCAGGGCCTAAGCAGTTAGATTGGGGTTGCGTGTTTCTGTGAAACCGCATCAAACCAGGCTGCAGGTGACGTAATCGCTCAGCCCGTTATGTTACGCATTGCACGTTTGGTTGCCCTCTTTAAGACAAACCCAAGGGATGGGAAGCTAGCAACTTTGCTTGGCCCGCATTCGCGCTTGCAACCACAGGAGATAAAAAACTGAGACCTGGAAACTGGGATGCTAAACCAAAGTGTTCCAAATCAACTCGGAGGGGGCACCCGATGTTAAGCCCCCTGGCCGAGTTGGAAGCTACGGTGCAAACCATCTGTTCGCAGTAAGCTGAAACAAACGACTCATACTTGGCACTCCGGATTGATATAAACCCCTGCTTGATGTTGATCGGATGGTGCCCCCACTTACAGCAGGGCTTCATTTTTCAGGGCCCCACCCCCTATCCAGAGAGGTTCTACTTAGACCCTGGATCAAGGATGGCAGGCCCAGTGGCAAATTAAAAGACGCAGCAGGCTTGGGGCATCAGAAGCCTTTCGGCTCCGTACGGTGGTAGTACTTGGCAAATCGAACGCATCCGAACCGTTTTCAAGAACTGAACAAACCTGGACAAGCTGACTCAGCTCTCTCCCCCCCGACACGCCGCTCCCAGAGTGAACGGCTTCACCACGTCGGCCGCGCGCCGCGTCTGCGCCGTCCGCACGGTCGAAGCGCCCCGTGCCGCAAATGCCGCCGGTGCGACCAGGCCGCGCACAGCTGGGGCCTGACGAGTGGCTTCACACATGGAGCCTCCATGACCCCTAAAAAGGTCATGGACCATTTTTGTTAAAGGTCATGGAGACTTTAGGCACCCCAAAGGCAAAAGCTCCAAACAACTCAAACAATAGGAAGGCACAAGGCAGAAGTGATGTTGTAACCACCCAACCACTTCAAGGACATGCCAAGAAAAGCTGGCCCAGACCTTGTCACTTCCCTGGTTTTCGAGCATGGTGGTTGCTTAAGCCGCTCTTAGCGTCTGAGGGGTCCACGGGCCCGAGCCATCTTCACAATTTCGGGTGGGCTTTCTGGGGAAAACCCCCCTTCATGTATTGAATCTCTCCGGGTTGAATCCAGAATTTACACTAAACAGCGACCTCTTGGGGCGCTGCTTCACAAACACCAAACGCACGCACGCGCAAAAAAAACGCCTCACAGGGCGGAGCCACGACGGAGACGGCAGCTTGCATGGCGAAGGGCGACGGCTCCTCGGGGGAACAACTGCTCCGAACAGTGGGCTGTGGGCTGTGGAGGTGAAGAAATACCTCCGGAACCTGGGAGTGTATAGATGTATGCGCTTGTTGTTCAGGATATATACATACATATATTTATGTAGTCACAATGTAGCTTGCTTTGACAAAAGTGGATGCAGGGATATATCCAGTTCCATCGTAAAAGACAACTCGAACAAGCGAGCCGGGTGATTCAAAAATGTGGCTGTTGAGTGAGCGCCTTCAATCAAGAGAGGTGGTTTGGGCCTTGTTCCGGGCTTGGCAGGCTCCAACTTGCTTTGTTGCCTGATATTGGTGCGTGCGTATGTCTCAACCTGTCCTTCGATCGGAAAGGATTTCCCAAGCGGATCATTTCCCCAACGGGAAGGGCTTCGCTTCGCCGGTCTGGGGACCCAATGTCCAACGCCCACGTTGCCAAGCAAAACCTCCTTCCAACAAGACACGATCGACCTTCTATTCCACTTGAACCTACAAACCAACTCTCTTATCAGTCGATTGCCAGGTTTTGTTCCTGTTTTTAAGCATTTTGTTGGCCTTCATGTTTTGCCCTTGGCGATTGCCTTCGTGTGGCCTTCTCCCCGGGATTCGCCCCAGTTTTCCCGTCCTCGAGACGGCCGCGGGCGGGGAGTCGAGGGAGCAAGGGCTGCCGGGAGCGCAACGATCGGGTTTAAACGGACGCCTGCTCGCGCAACCCATGCGCAAAACGGCTGCCTTCTGAGGCAGTTCTGCTTTGGCTGACCTTCAAGAAACACCAACAGGAAAACAAGCTGGTTGGGAAGAAACGCGAACAGGTCAAAACATTACGAAGTGGAATAAGCCAACATCCGCCATTTTAATATATTTCAATCACAACACATGGGTGAGTCTCAAAATAGGGGGTCCCCTAAAGAGTGTCCTTTAGAAACAGGGTACCCCAAAACAGGAAACACCGAGATACACAGCGTTCCCTAAAGCCAAGGCCAAGGACTGCTAGTGGCCCGACATGCTCGCGACGGTAAGAGTTTAGCTGCACCGACCCCTGTAACGTATTGATCCATTTCGCGGTGTGAAATGGATTTCGTACATCCACAGTATGGTGTGTGTGTGTGTACTCCTTGTTCGCTTTCCACTTTGGGACGGCCTTGTTGCATGTAAATTTCCGAGGGTCAAAGTCACAATCTTGGTCAGGCACCAGAGAGCTAAGACACGGTCTCAAGGACAACTGGGCCAATTGAAAAATGAACCGAACGCTAACTGACTTAGATTGCACTCCCGTGGCAAAATATGTCTTGGATGCATTCTGGTTGTTTGGGTTGTCTTTGGATGCATTCTTTCAGGAACCCAACTAGCCTCGGCTCTCACCGGCATCTTTGCTCCGAGGTGAAATGATAGCAAGGCCCGGGCCGTGTTGCGATTCTCTCTTTCTGAGTGGGTTCGCAAAGACAAAGTCAAAACAGTCCGGGAAGTGCTGCGATTGGTTCAATTCCCCCGGTCTGAACACCAGGCCTCCGCCCAAATCCCGACCCCCGCCCCACTTGAGGCATAAACTTGATGCCCTGCTGCGTGAGCTCACGCAGGAAGCCTCCGCACCCCCCGCCCAAAACGCATCTCCCCATGCTGCAAGTTCCAATGGGATCCATCCCCTCCCCCCTCCCCCCCCCCCACAAACACATCACAACAAATCCAGGAATCCAAGTCCTGTTTGCTTGGTTCCTTGGGTCGGTGCGCGACGCCTTGGGCAATTACATAATGGATGCTGTGCCTCACGCCTCGTGCTTGCTCTGAGCTGGAGCACTAAATAGGGTCTGGAAAGCAAACAAAAACAATCATCTGTTCGGCTCCTGTGGTCCTGTAGTGAATCAACCCTCTTTCAAAAAAAACAAAAACAAGAAAACAAAAACAGCTATTTGGCACCCAGTGAGGAGCTCTCCCCACTCCTTCGCTTGAGGCTTGCTTCAGCATGGATAAGGCGAGAATGCTTCGGACACCATGTGGATGGGGCTTGTGTCACCGGGCATTTGTTGAGGCTGCGATATGGAAGCTCCAGATGCCCGAGCAGAGCTTGCACGTGGACAAGAGTCTGTCAGCTGGGCTCAGGGTTGCCGAGTCAATGTCCAAGCCCCAGAGACGTGCTCTTCTGGTATGCCCGGTTTTTAGAGATTGCCACGCCCCACCACCCGCTTGCAAAAGGCATTCGGCTGTCTTTCCTTTGCAAACCACGAGGTGACTGTGGCGGCTATCCGCGACCCTGGCCCAGTGGTGATGAACATGGAACACACGCAAACTGAGCAACATGCTGCATGGACTGTCACTTTCTTGTGCCCCAAGTGCAATGACCACATTATCTTGCAGCATATCTGCCTTTTTCAGGGTCTGTGTCGAGGGAGCAAAGAACTCCGCACGATTAGTGGTGACTCTTTTGAGGGTCACACGCCGCCTATTCACCCTGAGGAGCACGAAGCCGGACCCGCCTGCTTCCGTGGCGTTGTGGGGAGGCCTGAGACGGCGTAAGCAATGCGCGCATACGGCACAGGCACGCTGGGTGGCGATCCTGGTGACATGGTCGACACTGTTCACCCAGCTTTGCTACACCCGGCGGACGACGGGAGACTCCCCGAACTCTTCAGCTCGTCCGCTTTGACCCGTGCAAGCTGCATGCTAGTGATCTTGCCGAGGCATCAGCTCGCCATGCGACTTGGCATTGATCATTGCGTTGTTGAAGTCTGTCAAATACCTGCGCAAAACAACTCAGTCACTTGGCGCTGAGACAGGCCTAATTATCATCTGGCATTCATATGCTTTTCCGTTTTGGGGCAGCATGAAACTCAGCATTTGGAGGGCGCAACGCATCCTGAGTGTAGCACCTTGCAGTTGCTCAAAGGCAAGCAGCTTCATATGACTTTCCATGAAGCGTTGCCAAGACTTGGAGGCTGGCCTACGCAAAACTGGATGGATGAACTCCTGCACAGCCTAAGAAACCTGGAATGATGATTCCCTTGTAAATGCTAACGGACAATAGCTTCTCATAGTTTCAAAGTGGATTTTGTCAACAAGATTACCACCTAGTACCCAATCGGGGCGCAAACCGACACAGGGGACCCAAAAGAGATACCCCGGAAATACTCCGGATGGACGACATCCATTTCGCACCACTTTGAAACCATGGGGAACCATTGTTTGTTGGTATTTACATGGGAATCGAATCATCCTGAGTTTCTTGGGATGTCCGCAATGGATTCCGTCCATCCACAGTATTGTCTCTTGCTGTCTGCTTGCAGTCGTTCATTTCTTGCACCGCTCGCTTTGCGAAGCCTCAAAGTCTTGAAGAGGCCGTGCCAGCCACCAACTTCGGACCAATCCGAACAACGATGCTATGGAAAGCCGGTTCCTCTTCTTCCTGAGTCCCTTAAATCAAACTTTCTCCCAGAACAGTGAAGACTCCCAATGATCCTCGGGCCCTCTGGGACACAACTGCACCCCCCTTTTGCCGGCGCCTCCGAAAGCTGCTATCGCGGCCGAGGAGTCTTGCAGGCAGCACCTGCCCAGCGCTGCAGCGGGGATCTGTGTTTGAGTTGGTGCCCCCTTGGGGGGGTTGCCTTTTCCGGAAGCCTTAAACTCACTGGCTGAGTGGATGGCCCAAAAAAAGTCCAAACTTTTTCTGTACGACTAAAACGGTCCTCCCAAAAAGTTTAAAGTTCATGAACACAGGGAGTGAGCAAAACAAAAAGCCATCACGTGTGAGGGAAAAGCTAAAGGAAAACCTGAAAAGCAGCCTGTCCTTCTTGAGGGAAACGGAAATGGAAATGGAAACGCCCCATATTTTGACACATACCGAAGTGGGCCTGTCTCAAGACTTTTGGACCGTTGCGCAACCGCAGGAGCCGGCAAATCACCCCCCAAGTCCTAGTAACACACTGAAAGGGCGGAGATCCGTGATATCCGAACCCATTTATTGTTGAGAGCCCCCTACAAAATTTCATCCATCCGGGTTTGATGGCTCAAGTCAGATCTGGCCATGCAGGGTTTTCACAAAGGAGGCCTTGGTTCCCCCACAAATGGGTGGGTGTTGACCCATTTGTAGTCGTTCCCCCTGAAGATTCCTTTGCAATACCCTGATCCTGACCAAAAACTTGCGAGGCGGGCTGCAGGTTCATCACCGGTCCAAGTCAGAGCATCCTGGTTTAGCTGCCCATACTTCAAAACCGTCTACCAAGCAAGAGGAAAGAAAGCCTTTGATTTGAAACGAGCATACGGATCACCATGAATGTCCTTGCGACAATGGGGTGACCCCCCCTAAAAAAAAAAAAAGAACCACGGTTTGGGCGAAGCCAGCGGTCAGAAAAGCTGCAACCTTGTGAACGTAAAATGGGTGAGCTCAGCGAGCGCCAGAATAGCAGCACACCCTCCGCACTTCAGCAACTAGGTGCCAAGTCAGAAGGCCACATCAAGGTCATAGCAAATGGCACCTTCCCGCCTTGGGTGTTTGAGATGATGATCAACTCAAATCGGCCCATTACTGTCGCCTTGCAAACAAGGCCATGAACGCAAGGTTTGTTTGTTTGTTATCTGTTTTTGCTCCGCTTCCTTGGGTTTTTGTGTCCCTCTATGAGGCTTTGTTTCAAAGGTAAACCAGTGACTCACTGGCTGAGTGGATGGACTTTATAATTACCACTAAAATGGTCTTCCCAAAAAGTTTAAAGTTCATGAACTCAGGAAGTGCGCCAGACAAGAGCTGTTTCGTCTCGCGCAGAAGCCGCCTGCTTCACTGAATGCCCCGGGGGTAGCGCTGCGAGCTTCGCCCTTGGCAAAAGGCGTGAAGGCTCGGCAGTCCCACCGAGTCCCACCCCCACCCACCCACCCACCCACCCACCCACCCACCCACCCACCCACCCACCCACCCCACCCACCCACCCACCCACCCACCCACCCCTCTAGTGCATTCTCAGGTATGAGCTTTGAAGGTACCGAGGCTTTTTTGCCACTGACACAAGGGGTACACTGTTTACAAGCTTGTACCGGTGGTGTATGAGCACCCATTCCTCCAAAATCCATACCTGGACATTCCCCTAAACCAAACATGTATCAAAAGACGGTGGCCAAAAGGCTAAGAGGTCGGTTTTGGTGTGGCTCATTGTTGAAGCATTTGGGGGTTGTCGTGCTTTTAGGGGGCCCAAAAAATGTGGTCCCCTTTTGGGCTTCCCATAAATCCATAGAAAAGGGGCTCCGTCAAGAAAGACACGCCAACTTCTTTGCCTGCATTCAAACCATGACACTTGACAGGGAATGGTTCCTTCAAAACGAAACAGATCGTCTGTAGATTTGTGGGAAGGGTGTATGTCAAATCCGGGGAGTATTTCTTGGGGGTGTGGACGCTATGAAATCTGGAAGGATCGCGACATCATTTGCTCAGTGCAAACGGGTGAGTTACCAAACGACTCAGAAAGGACCATGCCACATGCATGCAGCTAAAAAACTGTCATGTAAAACTTGGGAAGTCCCCAATACATCCGGTCTGATCCTTGGCCAATGGACGGCAATAGGAGAGTACAAAGAAACTGCGCATGTTGGCAAGGATTAATCGGGCAAAGTCACGGCCTGTTCAATACTCCTGCCAAGCCCGCCCGTCAAACACATGGGTGATTGACAACAGGGGCCCTTGCCTCCAAGAATTCCATGTCAGCTTGAAGGCGATGGAAAGGTTTCATTCCACCAGGCTGCCTTTGTTTGACCACCCCACAACAAAACCGAAATCCCAAAACTTTCCCCAAAGAACTTACGGGCTTACGGGTTTAACTTTACCTTGAGTGTCCGCTGCGCAAAAGCATCCCCCCACCACAAAAACACAGCTTTAGAGATCTGCGAGTTCCCAGCCACAGCGCCGTCATCACGGCGGCCCCTTGGGCTCCTCAGCCATGTGTGGCAGGAAAACCAAGACATGCTGGTTGCGAGTTCCCTTTCACCGGAAAGAAATATATAGCCTGAAGGCATGAAAAGGAACTCACTTTGAGGGCTCCAAAAGGTCATGTTTTAACCGTGAGCTCTCACTTCACATTGCCCAAGAAACATCATGCCAAAGCACTTTACAGGGACATGCCAAGGTGCCCTGAAGGAGAACAAAAGCCGCAGAACGACCCCCCAAAGCCATCAACGCTGGTCCCCTGTGAGTGGGAGAGTATCAATGAGGAACCCCTCCAACCACTGTCGCCTTTGGCCTCAAACGGAGCCAGGGAAGGAAAATTGCCCGTTGTCCCAGTGTCATCCCCTGCGAGCCTTACTGCAAGAGCCAGCCCTAGCTGTTCCAGAACTGAGAACATAAGATGTGCATACGCAAGTCAAGTCGGTATGCGGCCCTTAAAAACACAACAAACAAACAAGCCATGCTCGCCGAATCAATTTCAAATCTCCGAAGATACAAGCACCTTGCAAGCCGCGCAGCCCTGTCTGTTTGCCGAACCCTCCGAGGAAAAGCACGCAAAAAAACCAGACCAGCGAAGACGCAACGCCCCCGTGTCCTGCTTCAGCAGCCTCAGGAAACGGCACAGCTGAAAGACGGCTTTGGAAAAACCACTACCCTTGCCCACCTCCCGAAACAGATCCACTTCCATTCTTGGAAAATGGGTAGTCCGTCTGAGGTCCTTACGGGAAACAGATCCTCTTCGATTATTTTTGTAATAATAGCCCCTTCGGCGACCCAGAAAAGGTCCTTTGGCACCTGTCAGGGGCGGAAAATGCCGGCTTCCTCCCCCAGTCACCCAACAAAACCAACCTTTGCAGGTTCAACAAGAAAACCCAAGTCACCTTCCGCCCATAATTAACGAACAAAATCTGGATCAACAGCCTTGAAGGCGGCATTTCGTTCAAAGCAAGGGGAAAACCCCAAGGGCGAACCACATGCTGTACTCAGGGCTCAAAATCTGGTTGCTCTCTCTGTAGCACCAGGGTACGGGACCAAGACCTTGAATCTACCTCAGTCTTTGCGCCACAGCCAAAAGTATCCTCAATTTTTCGGCTCTGGCTTGTCGTTGGGCTGCAGGATTCAAGAGCCCAGTGCAAAACCAAAGCAATTGGCTAGCAATGCCTCCTTTTGACAAGGCATTTGTTGCTGCCCCTTGCAGGCAAAAAAGAACACCTTTAGAGAGGAAACATGCCGCCCCCTTGCTACAAGAGAACGAAGGGCATGTATAGGGGCAACGGCCCGTCCTTCGCATGGGGTGAGGATAGGGTTTCCTCTTCCAGCCCTCGGCTGCAAACAGTTCACTGTTGTGCACCTCGATTCACTTGCAGACGCGGCTCACAGAATGGACTGTTGTTGACACGCGAATGTCTTGACCCCAAGTGGCCTCCTTTTGAAGCCACACGGTTCCTCTTGGTTCCTCTGGTTTGCCTCTATAGTCTACACACATGGTCACATGATTCACCGAATGTGGTTTGGTCGCAAGAAAACAAGGACACCCACGCCCACTCGCACAAAACAAGCACGCACCATGTGCAGGCCGAATCGCGTCAAGATGCGTCAAGAGAAACACCCCTACCCCAAAACCACGCGGGAAGACAAGGAATTGCAGCACCGTTCAAATGGCACGGGCATACAACCAGTGAAAGCCTGCTTTGGACACATCATCAATGACTTTGCAACTCCACTTGGGCGCTAGCAAAATAAACGTTCTCTATCTGTTCATCAGGCTTGGGTAAGCCATGACTGCAAATGTGCCAACTGGGTTGCGTGCTCAGTCTCGAGCGTGTGAAGCATGCACAGCCACCACTCAACCACCACCTTGAAATCCAAAGACATTTCATCACGCTAGACGTTGTTCGACTCGCAGGACACCCAGGACTTTTAATTCAGGAGGTTGATTCATCCGGAGATGCCCCATTCCAAGAGAACATTGCACTTAGGAAAGCACCGTCGGCTGATTAATCCGGAGTCGTCATTGAGCAAATGACTCAGTGCGCCCTAGATGTGCCCAAATGTTTGGCCAGCGAATGGTTGGCCACTTTTTGCGGAACTCCTCTGTAACCCAAAGTGGTAGACAGGTGTACTCACCAATTTCTGCTGCTTCCCTGTAAAGTCAGGCAGTTGAGTCTATACTCAAAACCAGTTCTGCTTCATTGGGCCCTCTTTTGGATCCGATATCCCCCCAGCCAAGCGACCAAAGAGTGGCACATCAGCCAGCGGCCCTGGAGTCAAAGCATTCGACTCGCCCGGTACCGCTCCGTTCCGCGAGCGGCTTCCTTTCGGCTGTCGGGTTCCCCTCAGTCGAAAAGGTAGGCCCCATATCCACAGCGGGTTCCCATCGAAAGGTATGCCCCGTATTGACGGCGAAACGCTGCCGCAGCAACCTTGCGAAGATCATGGTACCAAGTGGTTCGCGACCCGCCCTGCTACGACCCAAATGGCTGTAGCCATGAGACCCGCCATGGTGCACTTTCGAGAGCCTCCACAAACAGAACATGTTCATTTTGATGAACCCAGCTGCGAGTTTTTCTAAGAGCCCCCAAAGCCAAGCCGTCGGATACCCTGGCACAAGGAGCAATTGAGATGTGACCTTGACCAGCTGTTTTTAAAAGGACTCATTGTAAAGTTGGTGCTTGGACGCGTCTTTTTAGGGAACCCTGTCCACCCGCCATAGCTCATCCCACGATTTCGGCGTGCCCGTTTGAATTTCCACGCGCTCACAGGTGCTCTCCGGTTCAAGAATCCCTTTACTAACCCCCAGGGGGTCAAGAGGCGCTTCAGTAATGAACCTAGCCAAATGGATTTCGCCCATCATGCTCACGACAAACGGCGAGTGGAACACGCCTTTCTGCCCAAAGTCACGGGCTGCCCCAAAATCTTTCACCGCACCCGTGCTTCGGTAAAAAAGCCACCGGAAACACGTGGGGTCATCATACAAATGGGCATCTTGCCAGAAAACTTGAAAATCGACCACTTAAAATGGTAGGTCTGTCTTCGGTTTCCAAGTCTCATCTGAATTTCCGGGAGCTCTACAAGCTAGAGGGTGCTTTTGCAGCCTCACGCGTTCAAAAACCTTACCTTTGCAGCCGGCCTTGAGACAACAAGGGTGCAAATCCCCGAGCCAATCACGCAAACGGCCAGACCCACTCAACAACCAGTAAATACGTGTAACTCCGGTCACCTTTTGTTCCAATCATGCAGGTGAACGTTTCTCGGCTGCCCAATAGGAAAACCGTCTTCCAATACTCTGTCAACTTTCACGATTGAAGCCAGCTATAATTTCACAAACCCGTCAGAACATATACATGTCTCAACCTTACGACCCTTGAATACCATTTACTTGAGGGTATACCTTCACATATGCCTCTGGCACATCCCCAAAAAGGGGTTGACGGTCAACTTTCGGACGCACCTTTCCAAGAACTGCGTTGCTCAGGCTCCCTGGTTTTCATAAGGCGCGCCAAAGAACCTGTCAGACCCTCCAAGCCAAAACCAGCCGATTTGTTCCGTCCCGCGGGTGGCGGCCTCGGCCGCCACGCGTGTGAAGCAGCAGGCAAGCAGAGCCGCCACCTGGGCTCGTTGACCGTCGGGGCCGTCGGACGTTGACCTCCGAAATTTGAGGGTCCGCTGCTTTACCCTCCCACCCATTAACATGGAACCCGACAAGGGGGTCCTTTAAAAGGAATATGGTCGTCCAGGACCCCTCATGTCAGATTCCATGTGAATTGGGGCAAGGGGCTGAGGGTTGCAAATGTGGCTGGAACTCGGGATTTGCCAGCTTGGCAGCCCTTTTTTTTTTTCCGGGGCGTGTCCCTTGGTAAACCTTTTCTTCAGTACAGGATGTATGCAGATATTATACTAGTCCAACACAATTGCGGAGGTCAGGTGCATGATATCCAGGCTTGCTGCCCCAAAATTAGGGAGCAACACACCCGGGAACAAAAGCAGATGCTACATGTTTTCGAAGGTCACCCTGATGGTGCATGTGCGAGGCAACAACTCCATGAGTTCAACTTACATCAGAACGGTGGTCTGAGGGACACCCTGGCCAAACATCCACTTCAACAAGGACTTCTGCCAGTTAGGAGACCTAGCTTCAACATGCAGCTTGCCCTCACAAGAATCTACAGGCTTGGCAAAGGGATTCATGCTGAAAAGTCGCTCACGTGCCCAAAAGACCTGGAAATTAGACGCATTTCTCTTTCGGAAGTTCGTACAAAATAGATTAACATTTTCGATGTTCCACCCTTTTTATCATCATACTAATGTAGGGTAAACATGCAAGACCTTACCAAATGTTTACCCACACATTGGAACATCAAGGGTCTATTGAGGTCGTTGGGTCATGGTCGTGGCAAAAACGCAGCGGTCAGAAGCTGCTCACCCAAATCTACAGATGCAGCCTCAGTTCCCCAAAAATGACCGGGCTCCCAACAGCTCTCATTGAAACATGACAGCAAGAGAAAGCTCCTTTGCGCGTGGCCTAAAAGCCTAAAAGCTGATGTTTACAACATGCAAACCTCCTCTGATCAAAGGAGGCTGAATTCCAAAAGCAGCCAAAAGGCAATGTCACATGGTCCCGTCGGAGCCTGCATCAATTGCTAATACGCACCAACTGAAAACAAGCAACCCTCAGGTCAGAGCACTTATGATGAGGAATTCCATGCATGTTCGCAAACCATGTCACACATAGCAACCTCACAGGTGGAACATCTAGGGGTTGCCCAGCCCGCCCTCCTTGCGCGAACCTCTCGGCGCGGTCCTCGCGATCCTCGCGCGAGTTTCTGGGCTCCAGCGCGTGAGCCGTGAACCGGGACAGGAGCCCAGGCAGCTCGAGGAACAAGTCGCCACCTGCGCAGCAGGCCCGTCTCAGTTCCGAAATAACACGGTTTTATCCGGAAATGTGCCTAAATGGGGTGAATACCCAGTGGTATTCCCACAAAAACCCTTAGAAAAGCCGTGGAAAGAACTTGTGCGAGAAGCACATCTAAGAGATATCTGGAGCACTCCCCAAACTCCCCAAACCATAGAGCCCGAAAGCCTGATGAAACTTGCTGAAACATAGCAAGTTTCAGCTTCATTCTCACATTCATGGTGCGAGGCGCCGTGTGGTCGCTCGCAAAAAGCCACAACTGCGCAACCTCCAGAGAGCTGCGACAATACAAAGAGAGAGTGAGAGAGAGAGAGAAAGCACCATCAACTACACCGAAAGCAACTGACTGCTTATTAGCACCCCGTGCTCACCCTAGAAACAGGGTGACCGTTTTGAAGTTGACCATCTGTTGCAGGGAACCCACCGAACAGAAGAACGAAAGTGCCGCTGACCTGGGCAGGTAGAACTTGGAAGTGGGAAGAAGAGCACTTGGCTAGACTGAGCCCCCTTTAACAAGCTACTGGTTAAAAGGGACAACGAAGGAAACCCGAAAGTGTAAAAAGGGCAAAATGGCGAGTTGAATCCGGCAGTGAATACACTTGCATTCATGCCGTTAGGAGCGGCAGTTCGCGCAACCCTGCCTGGGGCAAGGGCTCGCAACGCAACTGACACGGCCTGGCGTCGCAGGGAAGGAAATCTAAAGTAAGCAGACGTCTGCCTAACAGGCAAAAGTGCCCCAGTGTCCAACAACGCGGGTGGGTTCTTCTGCATAGGGCAGACTGCGAAGATTACACAAAACGTATATGTCAAACCAATTTAGAACTAATTTAGATCTCACAAGCTCAAGGAGGACCCCTACGCGCTGCTTGCCGCAACAGCTGAGGAACTCAGTTTGCTTGTATACAAGGTCCATGATGCCGCGCGGCTTACAACACCAAAGAAAGCCGTTTTCAACAAGGGAACAAATGCGCGCAAGCCTTTAGCCCCTCAATATGAGGCCTGCCCTTTCACCCACACCCCAGCCCATGCGCGCCGCTGCCGTATCTCGACCTGGGCAAGGGGGCATTTTGGATGGAAAGCAAGTGGCAAGCTCTCCGGGCAACTCAAAAACTCCCATTGACCCCATTCCGACCCTTGTTTAAACACTTCCATTTGCTTGAGCCCCCTGAAAAAAAAAAAACACAAAAAAAAAGAGAAAATATGTCCAGCGGTGATAGGTTCCTCTTCAAACCGACAAGAGCAACATTGACACATATTCACTTCAGCAAATGGAAGAGCATGTTGAATCGCTGAAGAAACTCCTTTCGGTTTCTGTGACAGTGGCCAGGGTCTGGCACAATTCTGGCCCGACCCTTGAGTCGCCATCTCACTTCCAATCGGGCGGAGTAGCCCGCCTTCCAGACTTTGTAGAAGGCCAAAATGGGGGAAGTGAGAGACTTTTTGTGTTCACTGCAGTTCACCAGAAATGATATTCCCCAAACGTGGAAAAAGTCCAAAACAGTGAGGCAAGCAAACAGCGAAGAGCTGTAATTGTGAGGGGATCACCGTGCCAACCTCCAGAGAAATGCGAGGCGAGAAGAGAAGAAGTTCACATTTCACCAGGCACCTGAAAGGTGGTGTATTTTGCTGGCATACATTTATTCAGCAGCACGTGTCGTTGTGACATGTCGGTGCACCTGTTCATTCCCAAGTCTGGGTTGTTGGGATGATGTTGCTGAAAGACAATGCAATTTGCTTTGGGAACATGAGCATGGGCATGTGGAGTCTTTGGTTCCTGTCCTGTGGAAGAGTCAATGCGACATGATTCATGTGTTGCTGACCAAACAATGCCAAAATCACGCGCAAATTGGCGGAATTATAATCCTCAAAGATCTACTTCTGGCTTGCCGTCCATGCAAATGACAAGCAAATTGGAGAAAATTGTGCAGGAAGTTGGCAGGTACTTGTCTGACTTCCTGGCGACTTCCAGTCGCTGGATTCTTTTCGCAGGCCGAACCGAGCCCCGTCCGAGCCCCGGGCGCCATGTAGGACTCAGCTCATCTCCCTAAGACAGCGCCGGCCGATAAAACAAAGCAAGCAGGAAAGCACACCCTCCCACCGATTAACACATGGATTTATTTCGACATTTGGGGGAGGGGCCTGGATTGGACATGTGTTGTCCTTTTCGAGGGACCCCGACTGTCGGGTTCCATGTTAATTGGTGGGAGGGTAACCCATAAAAAGGGGAGGTGATGAATCGGGGCTTGGTCCAACAGCTGGCTTGAACATGTCTAAACCACAAATGCTTAGGCAAACATGGTGGAAGGTGGTCCTTGTGGGGAATAGTTGTGAGTAAATCCCGCTCTGTACCGAGAACATCTGCAGCAGGGATTGGCAAAACTGCTGTCTGGGCTGGTGCTGCATCCAACATCTTTCCCGTTGGTGCCAATCAAGCAGAGGCGAGGCCCATCATGGAACACATGAGCGGTGCACACGCTCTGGCGAGGGTGGAGTGACTCACTTCCTGAGTGGATTGGCCAAAACAAGTCCAACCTTTTTACTTTTCACTACAATGGTCTCCCCGGAACTCAGGGAGTGAGGCGTTGATTTGGATGGATCAACAAATGAGTTCCACAGAGCCCTGAAGGACTACAGAAATCCCTTGGGTCCAGAAATGATCGGCAAGACAAACAATGAGCTCAATTCATCGAAGGAAAATACCAGTGCTCCAGAGCGTGTGCAACACGTGAAAAAGAGCGCTTTTACACCTAGCCCTGATATGCCCCCTTATATGTATGTTCTGCACCCATGAGAAACGCATCATTTGTCCTTGACATATACCCCGTAAATGTAACTAGGTTGGCACACTAGGGAAGACGTAGCGCCGGTGGCTCTCGCGTGCATCAACGGTTGCACTTTGCCTTTCTCACCCGTTCCACTTCTCGTTGGACATGAAGGTGAAAAGGTCGGCCCTTGGGCAACCCAAAATAACTACTGCCACTCTACGGGGTGCCCTTTTTGAAGCGCGCGGAGGATTTCGTGTCCCGGGGACTGTGGCTCCGCGCAGGGCAAAGCTCCAGCAAGACCAACTGCTGGCCTCCGGCCGATCAACAACCCACCAAACTCATTCCCACAACTCCCACAACCCAAACACCACGTGGCCTTGGGAACGAAGAGGCCATGTGAGTTTTTTTGTCAACGGTAGCAAGGCCACGCATTTGTTTGTTAATGCTTGATGAGTTTGAAGGGAACCCTCTGACAGTACAAGGCAAGCTGAGTAGCGATGGGTATCTGGCAACACTGAATCAAACCCGCAATCAGCATGCCCGAGACCGCAGGAATGGTTGGTTGCATATCAGTTTCACCCTCCACAACGGTGCCCCCATTGTTGGAACTCCAAGCTTTCTCTGCACGAGGCCGCAAGCACAAACTGAGAAGAACCTTCCAACCTAACTTACCTCTCTTCATCCCGTGGACAAAAAAGGCTGCCCTCAGTTTCCCCTTTGCACACCATCCAACAAGGGCCCGAAAACTTAAGGTGGTCACCGGATTTCCCCTTCGCAGGTTGGTCCATTTGCGGGCAAGCTCCCACGAGCCACACGGAGGGTTTGGAGCTTGCAGGATGCGGACGGCCTTTCGGTCCCCAGCCTTGCGGCACTGCGGCGCCCGGATCCTGGCTCCGTTTCGCTGTAAGCCCAATCAGCCATACTGATTCCGTTTGGGGACTCACCAAGCTTCATGGGAATGGACCGTTTTGGAATCCCCCAAAAGGACAATGCATGGTGGGGGCCATTTGCTCACTCCCTACTCAGAGCCAGCAAGACAAGCCAGGTAACCCTACGGACAGGAAACCGCCCTGGCGGGCGGCGGGAATTGGGATGGTTTGAGGTGGAACCTGGGAAATAAGTCACAAACAGCAGACATTCGTTAGAGGAACCTGCTTGGGTTTGCAGGCGGCCTCTGCAAGCTTTGAAAATTTCAAATAAAATCGAGCAATGTGGCACAGTACAGCATTTCCCATCGAGCCGCAAAAGGGAAATTGCCGGAAAGGTGATGCTTCAAATTGCTCACAAAACGGAGATAGGAAAACACGCAGGGACTGGAACATGAACCTACCCCCATTTATTCCTCAACGGTCCCAAAGTCCCCTACACCATTGCCAGTCCCAGATCATTTTGGTCGGGACTTCCCGAGCCCACAGCAAGATGACACAGCTGAGTTTTGCCACTACAACCACCTCCAGTTGATGTTCAAGGATATTCTTGACAAGCAATGCATCGCACAGGTGAGCGCATGCTCACAGCACAGCAACATAGATCTGAACCTAGAAGGACCCGAACTAGCTTCCAATTCACGCAGCGTGCTATTCACATAAACGCGGTGTGACCCCTGCTCAACCCCTCGGCTCACCAACATTTGCCCTCTGTCCAACAATCATGGATCCAGGATTGCTGGAGCAACGAACGTGGAACCTGCAACAATACCCGGGACATTTGCTACAGTACTCAAGCAGCACCCTTTCAAAAACAGTGCTGACAACAGTGCAGCGACAAGAAGAAATGCTAACAGCGCACAGGCATCAGTACTTCGCAAAACAAGCAATGTTGCACGACACTCTTCCAACAACAAATGGAACGAGGGTCTGCCCCTCCCCCTTGCGTTGGCTGGCTGAACATAGGAATTTGCGCATATATTCTTTGCAACCCTGTGCGGGATCGATGCCCTTATTTGGCCAGAACCAAAAGCAGCCACCCTGCCCCCTTGGCCAGCGGGCTTCTGGAACCAAGGCAACGGCTGGCCTGGGCAGGACCCCTCCCCTTCACTTCCCCGACAGCAAACAGCCGCACGCGACTTGCAAACTTGCATCCTCGATCGGGCGGAAGGTCCCGTGCGGAATGGGTGGGCACGCGATTATATACACAAACATCTGCAATTCCTGGGATTCCGCCCGTGTCAAAGTCATGTAAAACCTGCTGCAAATGCCTAAATGATCAGCATGGGGTTCTAGGGTGCTAGTTTACCTTATGGTTTGTGTGCGTGTCCAGAGAACCAAGCAGGGGGGCTCAACAACAATGAGAGGACCCTACATAAATATAGCACTGTATTTTAGCCCGCCAAGAAAAATGCTTGTTCACCCCAAGAGGGGGGAAGGCTGTTGAGCCTCTGGCACCAGCATCTCGGTTGAAAGCCAGTGGCTGGCCGAACCCGGAATGCATAAGCCTCAGGCCGGGATAGTCGAGGTCTCTGGAGAGTTCGTGGATGGACAAATCAGCGGATCTCAAAGGTCGTACCACCAGACCCTGGGAACATACACTTTACTGGGGTAGCGAAGTTCTAACTATGGCTTGACTGTCATATTTCCTCTTTGGGGATTGGTCTGGGGGCAGTGAGGGAAGCCTCTAAATTGCACCAGTTGGGATGGATGAAGCCCTATGAATACTGCGGTGGGCCGCCACTTACTCGTGCAGGATTTCGTCCATCCACAGTGGGTGTGTCTTCTTGTTAGCATATCCTTTTGGACTTCTTTGCCTCATGCAACTACAAGGGAACCATAAGGAACACGTACACACATGTGTCTGTGTCTGCGTGTGTGGTTCTGGGTGAATTGTCCTCCTTGAAGTAGTTGGGAAAGCGGCAAACAAATGCAGACCCCGCAAGAATCTGGGCAGATGGAAATATGAAATCTCCGAAAACAAGAGAGCATCTTCTTAGATAAGCTTGCCTTACCCAGCTTGTTGCAATTTGCCCAACGGCGTGTGAGGGCCTATGGATTAGAATGAGCTTCTGGGGGGCTTGGAAACCAAAAGCCAAGCCATGAGTACTCAAGGATCATGTGTACAAACTTCGCCACGCATACTTAGCCCCGGTCCAAAGGATAGGTCCTTCCAGCTGACTTCCCACAACAAATGCAAACAAAAGGTGGTGCATGGCTAACCGAACGCAAACAGCACTTGCAAAACCATGTGTCTGAGCAAATCGATGCAACATCTCCTGAAAGCAGCCGCACAATGGAAGCAAAACACGTGTGCCTCAAAGATTGAACTTGAAGAATGCTGTCCCTTTTTAGTAGGGAATCCGTCCACATCAAAGCGCTTTGGAAACGGCGTTGAACCCGGCCGGGGCTGAGCTTATTTTGGCTTCTGGGGGCGCGGGTGCTTCCCCTTCAAGCTGCCTCCTGGACAAGACTTGGAAATACTGGGGAGTTGATGACATTCCACTCCACAACATGGAACCTGAATGAGGGGTGCTGGACGACGATGTTCCTTTCGAATGGATTTTGTGGTGGGTTCCATGTTAGTGGACTGCAGGGTAGTACACAGAAAGGAAGAACAACCAGCTACAAGACCTCCGTGGGTGATTAAGTTGGTCGTGCCCCTGAATCGGTGATCTCCTGATGATTTGCCCAGAAATGGTTCAACTGCGGCCAGACCAGAGTTCCCTGCTATTTTTCGTGAATTCTCAAAACAGGCGATGCTTGAACCCGCCAAAACAGGCGATGCATGGGGACCCCTGCACACATTCCCCCCATTCAAAGGCCCATAGCCTCCAACCGCGCCCGGTGTCAAGTGGCAGCGCTGGTAAGACAGGCCGCCTGAAGAAACTAAACCGACCAAACCGACGTGGCTTCGGATGCCCTGCTGCTGAGCGGGGCACTGGGAAAAACCAGTTACACTCTGGCCCACTCAAAAAAAAAAACGGTTTGGATGGATCCACCCCTGCAGAATCTTCAAGGAGTACCAAAGGATTATGCTATTTAAACAAAAAAAACACGTGCAAGAGGGGGCTTGGAACAGGTGATATCCACAAACAAAGCGCGTCCGAACTGAGAGTCCACGTTTGCAATGAAGCCCTCCAGGGAAACAGCCCCTTACGGAACATCGTCCAAACCAGGACTCTTCAGTCAGGTTCCATGTTTGTGGATGGGAGGGCATTTGCAATGGCATTCAGGATGTTTCTGGCTGCTTGACGTGCAATGTTTAGGGAACGGTATCAGCCAGATCTGTGCTAACGGCATCAGCATTGAAAAGTGTGATGTGTTCGCTTCAATTACAAATGAGACCCTCACTTCCTGAGTGGATTGGTCAATGAAAGTCTGAACTTGTCATTTACCACTAAGATGCTTCAACCCAAACAGTTTAATTATAAGTCCAGGAACTCAGGGAGTGAGGGGCCCTTTATAGACAAATGATGTGGCAAGGGCTGTTTTTAGTTCTTTTTAGTAAACAAGTTGCGTGGTTCAAGGCTGCCGAAAGCACTTCCCAGGCCGAGTTTGCTCCAAAAGCTTGAGGCCCCTCAAGGCCCTGGACCAAACTGCCAAGCTGAATGAGCCGCAAGCCCCGGCCAGGAGAAATCCCATAGACCAAAACTGGCGCATAAAATCGCATGTATCCGCTGGTGCCGCAGCATGCACACTAATATATGCGTGGCAGTCTGGGGTGAGAGCTTTGTTGGTACTTGCCAGTTGGAAACCTGGCAACTCTCTCAGCTGTTGCTCCGAAATAAATGAGACATTGTCAGTTCTAGTAAAAAAATCAAACGTAACATGACGTCTTTTGAGAGGTTCCTGGACAACTGCGAGCTCATCCAACAAGCAAACCCCGGCAAATTCCGGGGTTTCTTTGCCCCCCCCCCCCCATGTCTGCCCAAGCGACCTGGAAGTGTGATTTACTTTGGAATTCGCCTTGCTCGAGTCATGGCATCTGAACAGGATTCAACCAAACACCCGCTGCACCAGGTGTCTTTTTGCCAACTTCTTGACTGGCCTAAGTAACTGCCGAACAGCCAAATGGGTGTGCGTTTCTGTCAAAACTGCAGCCCCCAAAAATGGATGAGTTTTCCTGCAGGTTCCCTTGACATGCCATCAAACACGCGGCCCCCGAGGCCCCAGCCCCCCCAAACCCGGACGCCTTCGGCCAGTCGCTCGGGGAGCCATTTCTTCAAGAGTCGCACGAGGGCCACCAGCACTGCCGGCGGCCTCGCACGCCGTTGCCGGTGGATCTCCCCACGTGGCGGGTGGGGTTGGGCTGGGTGGGGGTGGGGTGTTGGAGTGGGTGGCCTTGGGGGCATGTGGGGCTTTAGGGCTCCAACATCTGTGTGTGTGATTTGAGTTGGTGCCCCGTTTTGGATGGTGTTGAAGGGACACCAAAAGGAAAACCACCATCCTGGGAATCTTGCGAGTCTCCATAAAAAATGACACACCCATCACAAAAACCTGGAAAGCATATATATATATATATGTCCCCGTCAAAATAAACACAAGTCATCATGGGATAGGTCACCAACCAACGTGTTGCACAGTTCCGTAAAGGATACATCCAAAACCACCGTGCCAGTTCCGAATATGTTCCGGCATGCCAAGAAGCGGTTACGTGACTACCCCCCAGCCAAAAAAAACAGAAGCAGAAAAACACAACTGAACATGAACCAGGTTCACAAATCGGCCAAAACACCAAGCCATGCCAGGAGTTGGGACAATGGGTTGGCTAAGCAGTAGAAAACACACCCCAAAAATATCAGCTAAGATTTCAGCGTGACAACTGAACGGAACAGAGCTAGGCTCTCCCCAGAGTTTGTTGATTGGAAGTCAGATTCGTGCACAATTGCAAGCCATACCCTCCTGTCGACCAACCTGGAACCTGATGAGTTCCCTGTTAGTGGATGGCAGGGTACATCCAATTCTTTGCCTCACTGCCATGCACCCGTAGAACCCGTAACAAATGCTACGTATCCTAACTCTCCCAGAAACGCAAAGCTCATGAATCATCATGAATATCTTCGACAAGACTAACCTCGTGCAAGAGCAATTTCTCAAGAGACCGTGGTCGCCATGCAGCGTGGACAGGGGTCCATGCATACGCCATACACATCACCAAGCAAACTCAAGTAAGATTGACCCACATGGTCATGCTTAAGCAACCGCCAACCAATGGGACCCCCCTTCCAACACGATCCCAAAACAAGAAGGCGCCAGCAACATGAGGGGAAATTGTGGATTTGGGGCGGTGATTTGAACCATCAAAAGGAGTATCATGACCTCCGACCCCGGTGCTGCCGAAGGGCCGCTCAGGCTGCAACTGCTGCGCCGGAAGATTGGCAGCTGGCGTCGAGTCTGCGAAGGCCGTGTGCTGCAACCTGGAAATTCACGGGGCAACTCACTTCCTGAGCGGATGGGCCAAAGAAAGTAACCGAACATCGTGTTTGCCACTGAAATGATCTTCCGTTCCTGAGCGGATTGAAATGGATTGAACAACAAAACCTTCAACTACTTTGTTTGCCACTGACGGGGTTTGTCCAGGAAGTGTACTTTCTAACTCCGGGAAGTGAGGACACCTTCTCAAAGGTGGCTGCCACGCAAGCGCAACCAACGGTTCCCAACAATTCACATACCCAACCGAGAGAATGACAATGAACACCTGGTCTTCAAAAGCCGTACCCACCGTGTCAAGAATCAAAAGCGCGCCTATTCTTTGCTGGAGTCCCACATCCACCTACCCAGGCTTTGGTTGCGAAAGAAGCTAGCAGATTCATCGTGTCTGCAAAGGGCCTACAACCAAGCATACCTCCCCTTCCCTCTCCACAACCGGGCAAAACGCCGAAATGAGCGTTGACAAGTTCATTTTGGAAACCCAAAAGGTCATTTTGAAACACACTGTGCCGATTTCTCAGGACCTCGCGGCCTTTCCACTTCGCATGGGGGAGCAGCGCGTGTCCAGGGAACCAACCGAAAGGAAACACAGGTGCCATTGAAGAACTCGACGGGAAATATATAAGGAAGATCTTGAGGGACCTTCACTCACAGAAAAAACATTCTGCGCTGTAGGGTCACCAGTTGGCAGGTGTTTCATCCCGTCGAACGGCTTCACCCATCCCAACTGGTGGATGTTCATGCGCAGAAATCACCGCCAAGCCACCAGCGTTTTCGTTTCAGACCAAGCGCAGCCGGGGCTCATGGAGGGCGGAAGTCGGATTTCCTCAGGCCATGGCATCTTCCACTGAGCCGTTCAAATGGGCGGGATTTAAGAAACCAGGAAATTCTCCAGGGCTTACTTCCTGAGTGGATCCAGCACAAGTCCAGGGTTTGTTCTCTTCGCACTTGACCAAAGCACTCGGAACAGGTCAAGCCTTCTGCAGCTCGTCGCCATGCAGATCAAACATGGCTCCAACCACAAGCTCAGAGGCCAAACGACCAACAGACCAAGAAACCAACCAACCGACCGACAGACAAACCAATAATTCAACCCAATCCAATCAACTCAAATAACACACGAAAATGCCAAATTAATTAAAACTAGTTTTTGTAATTATAAATAGTGTTTTTTTTGTAATAATAAACGCTTGCTTCCAGTCTCTGAAAAAAGTGAAATTCAACAATCAAACATGTAAAATCAATCCAACCGACCAGCCAACCAACCAAGCGACCGACCAGCAACCCAAAAACGAATCAATCAAACAACCAATTCAACTTCCAATATAACAATCAATCCATAATTTATTCCAACAAACGTCAAACAAACCTTTACACAATCAGCAAAACAACCAATCAATAAACTCATCAACAGAAACTACACCAATCCACATCGAATTGAAACACATCAAACAGAAGCACTAGCCGCCACCAGCACGACCAACCCCCGACAAACAAACAAATTAGTAGCAAAATGATGATAAACAAAAGAAAGCGTAACACCATGATGTTAATAACGAGGATACTGCTGATTATGGTGATCATAGTAAATTCATGATACTGATACTAATAGAAGGATGAAAAGTATAATAATGATGGTAAACTATGATAAGAAAAAAACATGATGATTACTTATGATAATGATATATGACCCCAGCCATAGGCAATAAAGACAACAAACTGAAACAAACACTTCCTTGCGTCGAGGTGCCTGCCAGTTGGAACTCAGGGCAGCACCGCCCTCGAGGCATTGCGCCATAGCCCGGTGATCGGGGCCTCGCTTCTTTTACTCTCAAGGACCTGGAAATAAAAGGTTACCCTCCCGCCAAATAACATGGAAGCTGACATTTGGGGGTCCCTTTGAAAAGAAAATGGTCTTCTAGGACTCCATGAAAATTGGTGGGAGGGCAACCTTTCAGGGCCATGATTGAAAGGTTGAAAATAGGACAACTAAAAGCCAAAAGCTCGATTCGCTTTGGACAAGAGAGAAAGACGTCCTTTTGACCCACTTTTGCTCAAGAAGTTTCCCACGAGAGTGGGCGGGCCGTACAACTTGCTGGATCTCAGCGAGGAATGAATCCTACAAACAATCCCGCAAGCGGTGTTTTCTGGGATTCTCTTGAGGGTCGTTCCCAAAGTCCTGTTGGTCCCTGTCTGAACCCTCAAGTTTGTAGCCCTAGAGAAAAGGGCGCACAGTTTGGTTTGGTGCTGTGGTAACCCCACCCCAAAACGAGGCAAAACAAGCGGCACGGCTCGAGGTCTGAGTCAATTCCTGAGTTGGCTTTGTGGACCGTTTTTCCCTGAACACCAAGATGCTTCTTATTCTTACTTGTCTGATTTGTGATTTGTCTTGTTCTAAATGCTTCATCGGTCTTGTATAGCCGTACGAATCGGCACATTCCAACGTTTGCCAATCATCACAATTCCAAACCCGAAAGCAGAGGACCTTCATCATAACTTGGTTGTTGTTGAGCCCTCTGTAAAATGTCTAGCTTTCTGTGGGTCCAATGGAAATCCGAGCTGTTCGAAAAAAGTTTAAGTTCAAAATGCAACCAACTAGCCATACAGATAGATGAGCTCGCACCCCCAGTAAGCTCGTAATAGAGTTTCCCTGCACAAAATGCCACTTCGAGACTTCCAGTGGCCAGGGTGAATGCGCCCTTTCTGTGGTAGCTGGGCTGTCCGTTTTCAGATCCCCTGCTAAAGGCTTACCTTTGTCGGGTTCAATGCCCGAGGGGACGGCTCTGAACCACCAAGGTAGTTGATTCTACAGAAGCGCTTCATCAGGAATATGGAGTGGAAAGGGTCATTACCTGAGGCCTGGCTTGTGAGTTATAGGCATCTACTATGGTCCCGTCAACGTGGTGGTTTGGAGGCAAACCTCCCTTGAAGGTATTCTTTTGAGAAGCCCTCGAAATGCAACTCTGAGCTGCGCATTGGCCCTAGGAATCATTGCGCTGACCATTTTTAGAAAGGAACCCAAACAAAAAAAGGGACTTCAAAGAGTGCGGGCTAACTGAGGATTTAGCAATCGAAGTCGTAACCCACTGAAGGTTTCGGACCAATGTGGAAAATAACCTTGTGATACCAGCACAGGTCATTCCACTTACTACGTGTGAAACTCTAAACATATTTTGCGGGTCTCACAGAACTTGGTTGCTTTTGACCCCTCTGCAAAGTTTATCCACCTTTTCCCAAAAGCTTTGATTCCAAAAATCCGACCGAATAGACGTAAAAAAACAGTGGATCCAATTATCGGACAAATGCCCAACCCCCTTTCCAGCTGCAAGTGGCAGGTCCGATCCAGCTGCCACCAGCCTAGATCTTCTAGACGCCGGCGCTTTGCCGGACGCGACGCCTGGAACGGAGTGCAGTGATGCGAAGAGCTGGGGCTCATAGAATTCAATCCCTCCACCAAGCCCCCTGCTTTCCTACAAATGGCGTCTTGACAACTGGGCTGGGGTTGTAACCCCAGCTGGATGGCTGCAAATGGAACTCCATGTCCCCACCCCTTCTCCCCCGGAAATATTAGCTCACCAAGGCCCTGACAAAGCCGCAAGCTGCAGCCTATTGGCGACCATAGTGGCCATTAAGAACCACTGAGGCCATGGCACGCCTTGCAACTTGCTCCCTTGCTGCCTCGCATGCTTTTAGGACAACGTGTCAATTGCAGGCAACACCAGCTGGTTGGTTACACTTCGGCTTCGTTTTGGCCAAACGGAAAGGGGGAACAAGGGTGCCACAGTAACATTGAGAATGCGGCCCCAGGAGTTCTAACCCCGGCTTTCACGCGTGCTACCATCTGCGGTTCAAGGCTTATTCAGCCAGTCGCAGCATGGGCAATCTCGTGCAAGCTGCCTTCCGGCACACGGGCTACCAAACTGGCTGAGGTGTAAAACGAGCCATGAAGGCCCTCACGTGGGGAATTGCGGGGATTCTTGTCCACTCACTTCCTGAGTCCCGTTTCGGACTTGAGTTACTTTTTTGGCTGGTGGCAATTTTAGTGGTAAAGAACAAGTTCCTGGACTTTTCTGGGCCAGCCCACGAAAGTGAGTCCCCGAAACTTTCCCTGGTTTAACTTAAACCTGCCCTGCCCTCCAGTTTGGTTACTTTTGGCCAACCCGATCTATTCAATGTAGACAAAGATGGGGAACTTTTTTGAGATTGACCCCTTGTAACGGGGAATCCACCAAGTAAACAGGAACTTGAAGGGTTCACTGAACTGGCAACCACAGACCAACGCGTCGTTCTCTCCCAGCCTCGCAGCGGCCTGGCGCAAAAGGGAAAGCCTTGGACCTCCTGTTAAAGTGGCAGTTTCAATGCAAACCGCTGGTCAATTGCGACTGTTGAAGCGGGAATCCACCCACGAAGAGTTCTGTGAAGCGATCTCTTGGTCTGCCTCACGCTGCCTTACGTGGCAAGGAAAAACGGATGTTTCGCGGGTTTGATACATGAGTCATGGGTGTTTCTTGTTTTTGGGACCCCCTCCCCCCAAAAAAGAGAAAGATGCCTTCTTGGGATTCCCTTTGCGAGAAACAACCTTGGGTGCATATCAAAGAAGACACCCGAGACCCTTCCAGCATGGGTTCTCTGCAGTCGTCCAAAAAAATCGCGAAGCTCAGCCCGAATGAACGGACTCTGATGCCTGCGGTGCGGGTTCAGGTCTTGCTTTAATGTCATTGTGCTTTCGCCTGCGTTCGGCGAGCTTTAAAGCTGGCACGAACACATTCGTGCGCACCTGAAGCCGCGAGAAGCTTCAGAAGGTTGGTCTGAGAAAAGTCAAGAAGGAGTCGTGGCAGATGTTGTTGCGTGCAGCACAGTGTGTTGGCTCGGCCAACGCCTCAAAACCCTTCTGCCCACAAATCGAACATATCGGCATCCCTCCTGCCCCAAACTCATGGCCCGCAGAGGGAAACACGATGATTTGCACAGCACAGGTTGAAGGTGCACCCAGACGGGCAGCAAGCCCCAAACTAGTGTACCCTGCAGAATGGTGTGTGTTGTCCCTTTGGCTGCCGTAAGAAACAACCGGTAAAAACACAAAACTTGGCACCCTGAAAAGCCGGACGCTCAAAAAGCCGCCGCCATGAACCCGCCAAAAATCGCCGAAATGCGACTGCCCGGCTCCCTCCAATCCGTTCGTCGCCTTGGGCAAGCTCCTGAAGGAGATGCTCCCGGCATTTGCCCCAAAGCAAGTGTCGCTGCAAAGGCATCGCCGAGATCCTGGCAAGGCACAGCGTCCCATCTGATAGAATGGTGTCAGGTACCACGGACGCTGAAGACCCCCCCCAGAAAAAACAGAGAGGATCTAATGCTTAAATCCCCCATCAACCATCTCAAAGAAGCGCTGGCCTTCCTTTGCCATCCCGCCCCTTTCCGGCAAAAGATGGACTTGGGGGAGGAGGCGTGCCCGCTTACACCACATTTCATTCCATTTAAGCCTCATGGGATTCTCGACCCCTCGTACGGTGGATACTTGCGGTCTATCTTGCAACCACCTTCTTTTAGTGCGCCCATGGTAAGTACGTATAGGTACATGGCGGTTTAATCGTCAATTTCTTTGTTCGGGGCTTGCACGTCCGTGGCACGTGACCCCCCCCTTCCGCTCAACGCCCACGGCGCTTGATAGGGGTCGTCGAACGGTTTGTTTTGCGGCATGCCAGCCATCCCTCGGCGATTGTATCTTAATGCCTCGTAGGCTAGCAACATGATAGTGATGCTTGTCTTAGCCTCTAATAATAAATGTATACATATATATATATAATAAAATGATGAATCATGATACAAATTAATCTTACGAGCGCTGGCCCACCTGGCAAAGCGAATGGGCCAACCAGCTGCCATGCCACGCAGTCCTTGGCAAGTCTTCCGGCAGCCGGCGCCAAGCGGAGTTGCCTCAACGCAGGCAAACGGGGCCTTGTGCGACCGGTGGACCCGCGGAAAGTCAAGGGGAGCTTGAAATGGCCGTGGCTCAAAAACCGGTACTAAAATGGCCACCTTGGTCAATGGAACCAAAGACTAAAACCTGCGTAACCCTAGCTCCTTCATTTTGAGCCACACCCAAATGTGGGGTTGGAGGCGTGGCAAGCATTTACAAGCGTTCACATCTTGAGTCGCCTTGGGGCCTGGAGAGAAATATGGCAACACGCCATTTTCATAGGGGGAGCTACCACCAACTGTGGATAGCAAGAGAGGTTCAAATCAGTCGCAGGCTTTCTGTTTGACAACCCTCGGCCAAGCTTGTGCGGATGATGAAGACCACCTTGCCAGTAGGTTTGCCTGAAACACGCATCCAAATCCGCCAAGATACTCGAAGGGCGCCCCAAAGGTACATTACATTGGCTTCATTTGGACCTATCAATATATTAATATACATATACATATACATATAATGGCTAAACAAGGAATGGGGTGCCAAAATTAGAGGCTGTTTGTTGGTAGACACGGCGGCACCAGACCCCAGGGGTACATCCAATTCCCCCCACCTGGCAGCTGCCGCCCCGCATCCGCCACCCAGGCGTCCAACGTGGCGTGGCCTGCGAAATCCTTGCCTTAGCCACGTCAACGGCGTCCATGGCTGTACGACATGAAAATTATTGGCCGGAATTAGGACCCCAGCAAAAAGTATTTTGTTGTGCCAGGTGAGTGGAAACCAAACAAACCAACAAAAAACAACACATCAAAAAGGGGAGCTAATTCTGGGAAAGAATTGGGCCCCTAGGGACAGCTTTCGTCACATAGAAGCTCAAGCGCCCTTTCCCAGTCCTACATAACTTGGTCTGTGCAAGATTCCCTGCAAAAGGCTTTGACTTTTAGCGGGTCTCATGAAAACTACCGCTCAACACTGATTTAACTTCAAACCGCTAAGCCTAAGGAACCGGATGCCTGGGCACATAGCCGGGAATTGCCCCGTCGAGGCGAAGGCCGGCTTTTCGAAAGCGATTCTTACGTGGACCCGGTGGGGGTTCTTCCAGAAGGAGTTTCGTTTGTTCTGCACGGCCAAGATGGAAGCGAGGCAAAGCACCGAATAATACAGTTCTTCATGTTGAACTGGAGTGGGGTACGTTTTTGTGCCTGTGCCCCTGTGGGTGAATCAAGAAGCAACAGGCCACGGCAAATCACATTGGACGGGTTTGGCCTCATGTCGGCTTTAGGAAGGTGGTTCGCCCAAAACTGCAGCCATATCCATCTGCCGAAAGGCTGATGGCTGCGTTGAGCTCTTTCAGCAAATTGGGGTGAAGGCCTTGAAACCGTAGGCCCACCAGAAAGACCTGAGGCACTGACATTTGCCCTGCATGTCACAAAGAAATAGCTACAGCCGCGAACCATCCATCTGTTCCAACATCAGTCATGGCTTTGAAACCCAGTGCCAAACCATGTCAACCAAACGAAGGGGACAAACGCCAGCAACTTCTCCGGATTCTTGCAAACGACATCGCAAATTACAAGCTCGCAGGAGCCTCTTTACAAGCTTTAGATCCATGTCTTTGAGAATCCTACTAGATGCAAAGTGGGCGGTAGCAACTTGTTGGGGCGCGCCAACATCTGCATCCTCCTGCCTGGTTGGGGCCCGCTGCACACAGCTGAGTCTGCTCAAAGAGGCGGCTGACCTCAGCCAACAGGCCGGAGAGGCAAGTCATGCACCCCTCAGGTACGACAGGTGCGCGACGTGTGCACATGTAAACACCTGAGCCCACATGTTACGTTTCCCGCATCAGCTCTGGAGATGCAACAGGGCAAGCCACCCTGTAATTAGGAGAACGCCCCCTCAGGAACCTTCTTGGAAGGCAGGGGACTGGCCCCAATACCTCTCTGTTTTGAGGGTCCAAGCATGTCCAAGCTGAGATCTTCCGACCTTGGAGCCCGCCAGCCCCAACAAAAAACAGAAACCCCTCGACCCCAACCCAGACCTCCTGTGGTGGCCAAAGGGGCACCACCAAACCTCCTGGGTGGGATTCTCTTCTTGGTACAACCCCACCGATCGACCCAGACCAACACCGAGCGCACGGCCAACGCAGCGCAGCGCCGCAGCTCGCAGGAGGGAAGGAGCAACAGCAAGCAGCCGCTGAGCCGCAAGGCTCCTAGCAGTTCCCGCCATACCCGACACATCAAACCTACAAAGAATCACCACGCCCGCCACCCCAGAAAAGCCTCAACCAGCGAATCTAGAGGCTTCCACTGTTCATGCAATTGTCTTCAACTAGGGGAATGCCCCAACCAAAAACCAGTTTCCAATTTCTCCCTTCGAAGCAACCCCATTCTGCTGTCGCAAACCGCAGTCCAAGTGAGGCCACCAGAGCTGCCAGCGCGCAAGCCTCCGGGACTTGGTCGTCATGGGCGAGCTGTTCTTACCCCCTAGTGCTCGTTATGACAGAACTGCCCTCAGGGGAGAAGGTGGGTAGAGGCGCTCACCGAACAACGTAAACATACAAACAAAACAGATAACTTGCCCCCCCACCCCAAAAAAACACAAAAATAAAAGACTAAAGCAAAATTAAAAGCATCGCCTTGTGATCTCCCAAAGGGCTGCCGAGCACCAGCTGCGACAGCCGCTGCGCAAGATCCTCCCGGCCTCGAATCTCGAATCGGGAGGTGAGGTCAAGTCGGTGTTTTCCTGGACTCAGCCGTGTCATAATCAAAACCAATGAGAGGGCGGCCAACATCCTGGGCATAGTGGTGGTTGGACCCTGACCTTCTGCAAAAAATATCAGGAAGGTCACACAATTGAGTCACGATCAAAACCCGGTATTAAAACGGTCGATCCCCAGACGCATGCTTCAATAATGAATGAACAAGGCGGAATTCCGAAGCTATTTATGGTTGGGATTGTCCCTTACCCCCTCATCTACCCGTTTTTTGATTGTGGCTCTGATGTTAACTCCGGATTGATCCGGAGGACCGTCCTATGAATCAGAGGTGGTTCCCTTTTAGTAAAACCATATTATGGGATCCTCTGACAAGTAGACTCCTCCGGATCAATCCGAATGGAGAACATCCACTTCGCGCCAGTGGGGCTTGATGAGTTGAAGGCGTCAGCGGGCGAGGAGAGTTTCGCCCGGACACTTAAGTCATCTCTATGAGTCCATGGCAGCGGGGATCCTCCAGTTTCATTGGCCAAGTCTAGTCTTTCCACAAAGTGGACATGAGAATCTCCAGAAATCAGTCCTTCGGTTTACTCCCAGAAGCCTTGCGATACCTGCTGAGAATCCAAACAGCATCCGAGCCGCCCAAGCCGATCCACTTCCAGTACTGCTTGCCGTGCCAAGTCTTCCCATCCTCGAACGTGCAAGCCAGTCGAAGCAAAGATGGTCCAAAGGCAGCTCCCGCCAATGCCAAACCCAACCAGAAATCAACACCTACTTGCATGAGGGGGAGCCTTTCCAAACGAGCTACCCGTGTGTCACGGCATCTGCTCGCAGGTTGCCCTCTTGCTTGTTTGTGCTGTGCTGGGCTATTCATAAACGCATGGCTGGCCATTGCTAGTCCACATTCACTTGTTGGAAGCCACTCCGGAAAAGGACTCATTTGTTACCCAAGGATAGGATTCAGGCTTGTCTTCAAGCGGCCCAGATTGCAGTAGTTCAACCAACGCATGCAAACAGCAATCTGCCTAGGATGCTTATGTTGTCTTCCACGGTACTGTGCAGGATTTGAACTTCACGTCAATTCCATATGAGCGCGGCACCATTCCTATGCTTCCCAGGGACCCTTCAATCTATTAGGCGCCGAGGTGCTTTGTTGGGATTTGGGGGCTCCGTTTGGGGCGGGGGGGCCCGGACTATGTCAGGAAACATGATGCTACCCGCCCAAAGCTTTGTGTCCATTTCTCCCCGCCCAGGTGCAATAAGACGGTCAGCGTCGCCGTGGTGGAACCAGTTTTGCGGAAAGTGGAGGAAGAGCCTTGGTAGCAGCTCCCAATGGAGGAGTGGAGTGAGCGGGATGGGTGGTCTCAACCCCCCCAAGCTGTCAGTTACATTGTGTGGAGAGTGGGGGGGGGTTGCCCCTTTTAAGGAGAGTTCTAATCAGCCCGCTTCGGGTCAATATCCCTTCTGATTGAATCTCCCTTTTAGCCTGACCGCCTGAGGAGATTAATAAATTCGCCGGCGCGTCCTCCAATTGCCAAGGAACACCAAAGGATCCAATTTTGCGCTTCTTGATTCATTTAGACATGGGGCAACCCCATGACCCGACCCATCCAAAACACGAAGCCAACCAAGCGATCAGCCGAACAAACCCCTGGGCCACCGGGCGCCTCCTCCACTTCGCTCCAGGACTCAGGTGCTGCCAGCTCCATGTGGGGGTCCTCGAAGGCGGCGCGCCTTCAAGGACCCGAACGGTGCGCGCTTGAAACCCGTCTCAGCGGGCCTTGCCCCTTGAGGAAAGATCCACTTTTGGGGGGCTCAACAAAACTGATAGCTTCAACATGACCCGACCCACGTTTACAGTTTCATCTTCACAATGGCTCGCTGTGCGGACACGAAAGCTGTGTGGCAATGAAGCAGGAGGTCAAGCAGCAGAGTCATGGAGCATGGTGGGCATTGTCTGCAAAATAGATGTCCACCAACCATGTTCAGGGAGGTCCCAGTTCACAACCACATGGATCATCTCTGCCCGAGGTGCCACCGCCACCGCTGTTGCTTCTCCTGCTCCGACAGCACATGGTTCAGAGCCATCACCTTTGCGCAACTGTTTTCGCCGATCAGCAGAGGCCCAAGTAAGGCGCCATCATGGGGCCAAAAAGCATCGTAACGAATGTAGCATGAAGTAGACATAGCCGAGCGCAACGAAGTTAAGAAAGTCAACACCAAATTTACTCGAATAACTCTGCCACCACCAGCACCAACGCTAGCAAACATCTCGCTTGCAAGCAAAGTCGAGCAAATTTCATCAGTGAGCACGAAAGGCCCAACATACGTGATTTACAGTGGAATCGTCTTTGTACCCGTTGCTTTCCTTGCAGTATCCTTCCAATCCGTCCTCAACGTTGCCTCTGAAATTTATTGGGAAAGGGACCCTCATCCTGGGTAAAGCTGTGTAGCAATTTGGTGAGACAAAAAAATGGTCACACATGAAAGCTGAACCCGTGGCCGAACTGTGGCTGCATCATAGCTAGTTGGCATGGGATTGCCAAGAATGAGAGTGTACAGGTTCCACAAAAGCACAAAAGCACAAGAAGGGGGGGTTGGTTTTCCGGTTGCCAAGGATACGGTAAACATGGTGCTTGGCAGAGGCGCAGAGGTTTGAGCAGGTCAGTCCGTGCATATCAAACAATACAAGCCCGAACAAGCGCCAAGTTACAGAGAGAGCTGCCTCCCGGCCGATGTGCAGCGTGCAAAGCCTTTCATCTGTAGCCCAGTGCGCCTCAGTGCGCTCGGCCGGCGCTGCGTCACAGAAGCTGCGTGGCTTTGGAACGAAAAACGTTGGCCCTTGTTTTCTGTGACAAACCGAAGCTACCTCACAAGAATGCAAGGCTGGCGGATAAGACATCACACTCACGCCAACAAAAGCGCACACATACAAACACATACGCACTTTCTCTCACCAACCAGCTCAGTGGCCATGTAATGGCGAAGGGCCAGGACATGGCAGCGCCATATCCTGAGAAGGCAGGGCAAAGTATTCCCAGGTCATCCCTTCAACTTGCCGCAGCCTGTGGCAAACTACAGGAAGCATCTGGAGAATATGGGTCCCCAATTGATTGACACACATGGCCTATTTGCAGTGGCTGGAGGGCAGCCCGTGGTGGTGGGAAGCCGCATCACTTCGAGCAAGTGGTGGTGGGATTCCTCAATGTGAAGGCAAAGATGAGTTGCAGGAACATGAGCATTACCTCCCTGCAACACCCAAGGCATGTCTAATGCGTTAAACTGATCAAACACAGCACTAAGCAAAAGGACGGGGGCCTTCTGAGCAAGATCTGCATCTTAATAGGTTGATTCAGAACTTTCTAGGTTTAAGTGATAACTGAAGGCACACCCGGTGCGCTTCACCGGGAGCGTTGCTGAAAGCCAGATTTTTTTCTGCCAGCCTGAACATACTTCTGCACAAACTTGGATTCGGTGAGTGTCAAGGCTCCTGCCAGCGTTGCTGTCAGGTTGAGGTCTGAAAGAATAGACAAGCGACATGATAGGCGCTCATAGCTGTAGGAAAACACTCGTGGAAAAGTTGCCACTAAGCCAGCGGAAGCGCCTGAAGACAAGTGCCTGCCCAAAAAGGCAAGCTTTGGAAGCAGGTTCTGCTCGATGCTGTAGCCTAAAATCTGCGGAAAGCCAGCCACGACCTTTGCAAGCTGGGCCTGGCTCAAGCCCAAGCCCAAAATCCACGCTGCAGTGGGCTTCAAGTTCTGCTCAATACTGTAACCTAAAATCTTCGGACACCCAGCCACGACCTTTGCAAGCTGGGCCTGGCTCAAGCCCAAGCCCAAAATCCAAGCTGCAGTGGGCTTCAACTTCTGCTCAATACTGTAACCTAAAATCTTCGGAAAGCCAGCCACGACCTTTGCAAGCTGGGACTGGCTCAAGCCCAAGCCCAAAATCCAAGCTGCAGTGGGCTTCAAGTTTTGCTCGATGCTGCAACCTAAAATCTGCGGACAGCCAGCCACGACCTTTGCAAGCTGGGTCTGGCTTAAGCCCAAGCCCAAAAACCAAGCTGCAGTGGGCTTCAAGTTCTGCTCGATGCTGTAACCTAAAATCTGCGGACACCCAGCCACGACCTTTGCAAGCTGGGCCTGGCTCAAGCCCAAGCCCAAAACCCACGCTGCAGTGGGCTTCAAGTTCTGCTCGATGCTGTAACCTAAAATCTGCGGACAGCCAGCCACGACCTTTGCAAGCTGGGTCTGGCTTAAGCCCAAGTCCAAAATCCAAGCTGCAGTGGGCTTCAAGTTCTGCTCGATGCTGTAACCTAAAATCTGCGGAAAGCCAGCCACGACCTTTGCAAGCTGGGCCTGGCTCAAGCCCAACACATCTAGCCACCAAAACAATGCGGGTTCGAGCTCGCATTCAATGCTGCGGGCTGACCAGCATGCCACTTTCTGCCAACAGTCTGGTGTCATGTGCACCCCTCGCTTTGCCAGAAAGTGCAATATCTCCTCGGTGCTGTTCCCTTTTGATAAGGCCGACAGTGAAAAGTCCCTTGCCCTGACTGACAATACCTCCATCCCCTTTCCCTCAACAAACGTTGACGTCAACCCACTGACAGCGCTCGGGCGCAGCACAGCCCGCATGCACGAGTGAATCTGACGAGCAAGCTCTCCCAACGTTGCCAGGAGCGACGTGCCGTCACCCCGGCGCCAGGTTGCCACCGTGAGCCACAGGACATTGTCCGCAGGCTGCCCGACCTCAAGAGCAGCGTGGTTCACCCGCACGACATATGACCCCGGCGGCGCATATGACAGCAGCGCTGCGTTCTTCGCCGCATCCAGTGCGATGCCTTTCGCTTCCCCGTGGGTCCAATACCTGGGCGGCCGGCAAGTACCCCGAGCATCCCCGAGCCCCCCCAAAATATTGCTTTCAACCTTGGAGCTCACTCACTCGTGGCTGCTTGGGCTGCAGCGGGAAGCTGGCTCAAGTGAGCCACTAGCAACAATCGATGTCCCATGGCTCCAACAAAGCTTCATGGCCGCCGTCTAACTATACAAACATGAAAATGCCTGGATGAAAGTCAACCATCAGTCGTCAGGACCACATACTAAACTGAGGGCACGAGTACTGATTGAACTTTCACTGACAATCTGCATAAATCCTAGCCAGCATGCCCCGAGCCGCCCGTCGTACTCCACGAAAAGTGCTGCCTCCGGGTCTTTCAGCACCCCATGCAGTGCCAGGTCGGGTTCCAAGTAGTGGCCGCCCCACCCCTCCGGTGCTGGGAAACGCCGGAAAAGCTCCTGGCTGAAGCGCGACATGGAAGCAGTGCCAAACAAACACCGGACACGGAGAAACAGAACTAAGAAGCAAGGAAACTACAAACAAAGACAAGGAAACCCAGAAAGAAGAAAGAAACCCCACAGAACACGCACAGCAATGAGTAAAAACACACGGAACAACAAACACAAAACCATGAGGCAAAGCACGAAATGCACCGATCCTTCAGCTCCGCTTTGGGCTGAAGCCTCACCGCCAGCTGCGCCAACAACTCCGCCTCCGCCGCGCTGCCCGGGCGCTTGGCCCAGCCCCGGCGCCACCACGCCGGCGCGCTGAAGCCGAAGGCCGCGGAAGCGAAGCCGAGGCAGAGGCAGGCGAGACGAGCCGCGCGCCGCGGAGGCATGGCGTGGAGGGGGGGGGGGGGTGGGGCCAGGTGGCTCAAGGACTGAAAGAGCTGCAGAAATTGGCCGAAGAAGACTATGTGACTGTTTGAGCAGAAATCATGCGCACGAACAAGCTATCGGCTACTCAATCCGAGTGCTTTCAGCTGGAACCCCAGTGTGCTCCGTCCATCATGGTGTTGCATGTCTTTCTTCTAGCAGTAGCTTCAGACATGAAGCCTTCAGAAAACAGATAGGACGTGGTAAACCCATGGGCCAAAGCCTCAATGGCTCTGGCTGGAGACACTTTGGCTTCTGTCTCAGACAATTTGGCTTTTGTCTTGCTCAAATGGCTTGCATTTGCAATATCCATCGACCCTTATGGGGCCTCCTACCCTCCCACATCTTGAGGAAATACATTCCGCATGTCCAACTTGAAGCCACAACCAAAGGAGCCAGGGCGGCTACGGCATAGGCTATGAGGCAAATGATCTTTCCCTTCCAGGGGCTGTAGTGAGTCCGTGTCCAGCTGAATGTGAGAGAATACGATCTGACTCCGTTCTTGCATCAGGCGTTGCCAAAAATAAATCCATTCTTAAAAACCTGCCTTGGTGGAAGCGTCGGGACAATTTGTCCCAATGCCCCATGCTCAACTTGAGTCAGAATGAACAAAGGAAACTAGACAGTCTTCCAGCCTATCCGAAATCATGCACATCATGAAAAGCGGATCGAAAATGCGGCCGCAATTTTGGGTTGGGCCTGTGACTTTGTAGGTTTCATCCACCCAGGCTTCGATCATGGCTCACTGAAACCTCGCTTCCCAGCACTGCCGGGCGTCTCTGATATGTCCCTCTCGTCGTCTGTGGCGTCCGCGGACGCATCCCCGACAAGACGGTCGCCTGCACAGAGCTCGAGGTGAGGGATGGGTGCAGGGTGGGGCAGGGGGGGTCATCCCCGTCAGCCGCATAGTTGAGAACTACCTGCCTCATTCCTACTCCAGTGAAGTCAAAGACAATGGCAATCCGTTTCAATCCTAGCAAGGCCTGGCATACGAATCCGATGCCAACAGAGCCGCGGAGCAAACTGGTAGTGACAAAGATGCGTATCTTGGATGGGGGATTCCATGAAGTGGCGACTTTGTGCCCCCCGCACTCCGCAGCACACGTGCGATGGGCCTCCCAAAACGATATGCTCTGTCTCTGTTTCTTCTGTGGCCTGCCCTGCAACTATACAATAGCTTGGAGGAGGCCCCAACTATCGCTCGCCAACTGAACAAGCCATGCGGGCAGTGCCAAATCTTGCCTTTTAGTGGGGACCAGTCACTACCAAGACGCACATTTCTGCAAAAATGCCGTCCTACCGGGTGGCTTAGCAGTCACCCAAACATCAACCTCCCCCTTCCAGCCTGCACCTCCTTCCGCCAGGCGTTGCGCGAGCTCCTGGAGCGATCATGCAAGACCAGCCTCCTTGAAATCGATTTTGGCCCAAGCCTAACAGTTTCCCCAACTGGCCATGTCTCGGCAGAAGGCGTGGGGGGGGCTGGCGTAGCGCCAAGCCACATGCCAAGGAAAACGATTGAAGGGGACCCCTTGCAATTGATCCTGAGCTACAAACCAAGCAACTCACTGCCAACTAATCATGAGAAGCGCCCCAAAGAGATTCAGAGATGACTCTTTGCACCAAGTTGTGTCAATCCAGGCCGACGTAATTATCTTGGCACCTTACACCTTACCAGTGGTCTGAATTTGATATGAGGGCGTTCCCTATAAACTTTCATTGCCATTTACACAACCCATCGCAGCCCCGGCGGGCGCGCGCGTCCAAAACGCGCAAGGCTCCGCCCATCCTGCTGCCACTGGTCCCCTGACTGCCGCCGCTCCAGCGGGTAGGTGGGCAGGGACATGGCGAAACCATCCGTCTGGTGCCAGGGAAGCCCGTCTGGAGGGGTTCGTGTTTCCAAGACCTCCAGTGGAACTCCATGGGAAGGAAAGGGCATCCCAATTCCGGTAGCTCAAGACCCCTCTCCAATTGGAGTGATTGGGTAGCTGGTCTTGAAGGGAACTCAACAAAACAGGAAATGGACTGGATGTGTTGATTTAGGAGGGGAAGGCTAAGAAAACGGGAGCAAAGGCACTGGAGGTTGATTGAGGTGAAGGCTGGGTGCGTGGGTTTAGGGAGGCTCGCTGGTCGAGGATGAAAGAAAGCCGGCCAACGATACTGCCCCCAACAACAACTTCTGCGTGGCGGGTCGGTTGGTATGTTTCGGCCACAAGCATAAGAAAGCTGGCTGAAAATCAATTGCACGGCTAAGGAGTTGGCCAGGTTAGTTAAGTTGAGGGAGCATCACCCACTGCGACAGCAACAGCGATAAAACAAACCGGTCAATGAATCGTTCAGCTTAAGACCTGCATTTCTTGAAAACAAAACTTGGCCAACAGGTCGGTTTCGCCGTGTGCTTCTGGCATCCGTTGCTTGACTGTGATCTGTATGTTGGTCCGGCTGCCTGGGGCCAAAGGGTGGGGCGTCATTGGCAAAGCGCGCGAGTCACTGATACCCTCAATGGACATGGACCCGTCAACCAATTGCATTTGTGCGAAAAATGTCGCGAGTCTTCTTGTCCTCCCAAATTCACATGAACCGACAAAACTCACATTGCGAGTTTGCCAGGGCGTCAATTCCGCACCTTTAGTTGTGACACTGGGAGGACAGAGTGTTTTAAGTGGGTTGCCGTTTTCAGAAGACTTCCGCAGTTTACCGTAATCCAAATGCCACGCGCGCCTGGTGTTGTGGTTGCTGGCATAGCAAGTTCTTGTCAGTCATAGATGTTCCACCAACAATCACATCTTCAGATTCTGTTTCATATGCGGGCCGTACCAGAACATGGAGATGAGGAGACCCCATAAAAGCGAAGGGTTGACAACTCTTGGCTCTTACCTGACAGAACCGCGGTGCGATTCCAATCCGGGCATTGCAAGGCTCAAGCCATCCTAGATGGACAGCATGCCGAATCTTACCTCCACTGCTTTACGGTGGCATGCACATCGCGCGTTTTGACCGAAAGACTGGCCGCCCAGAATCCAGCTGCCCAGCATACAATAACCCAGCAACTGCCTACAGTGACCCAGCCTAGAGTGCAAATACGCAAGCAAACCTACGCCCAGACAGGTCACGCCTAGCATCAAGAAGCCGAGCGCTCAAACCAAATACTTGCTGCGCCTTCCCCTTTCACGGCGGTGCTGAACGCGCGGATCCGAGTAGCATCGCAGCGCTTCCAGACGCTGCAGTAGGCAACCAGGAAAAACTGCTCCCCTGCAAATTATTGCAGGAAGCTGAGAGGGGCTTTAAAGGAGACCCACCCAAAATGAGGGCTTTCCGGGCTCTGTGTTTATTTGCAGGGGAATGCACTGCAATTCCAGCAGGCCCTGTGGTATCGGAACGTCTCAGGGCGTGCATTCACCCTGGTGTGCAGCCAAACGGCATGCACGAAGCAAGGTGAGCCATTCAGCACATGACATGGTCCCCGAACAAACCATGCAATACAGATTCCTCCCCATCCCCAGGAACAAACAACCCGGACAAGGCATTGCAACCGCGTTGCAACTGCACTGCAATTTCTATGATCCTTGTAAAAGGCTCCTTACACATCGTTCCCAGGAGAGGCCTTTGCAAAGGGACTAACTTACAACCAAGTAGTCTTGACCAGGTTCTCCAAAAAGAAGGCTTAGAGTCTTAGAGTTACCTGGACTCCTTGAAGACCATGTTCCTCCAGCATGGGCCCTCTTTCCATGATGGGTTTGGAGAGCTTTCCATAGCTTGAACCTGCTCTGACATACACCCAAAAACAATGTAACAAGTGTTCTGATTCTGCTTAATGTGGACCGCAGTCCACGCCCCCCCCCCAAAAAAAAAACACACACACACACACACACAAACGAAAAGGAAGGAAGGCACAAAATACAGTGCTCCAACCAAACCCAACTCCGCTCGCGACCATCTGTGCTTCTGGCCCTTGCTCTCCCCGCACTGCTGCAGCCCTGCTCTGAGAGGAGTTTTTTTGAGCCCAAGGGTCTACTCACTTCCTGAGTAGCTTGGCCAGCTGGGTCCTCCAGTACCCGATTTTTCCCTGTAGTCTATTTTAGTAGGGGAACCCTCCCCCCAAAAAAGTTATAAAAGGGCACTTCTGGGTGACCTAGCCAAGCATGGATCATTTCCCCTTCACAGTTTCCATTGCAAGGGTGGTTCCAGGGGAATGGAAAACACCCCTCGCCCAAAACAAGTCTAAACATTTTGTTTACCGCCATTTGGTGGTCTTTTCAACAAGTGATCGATGTCCAGAAACTCTGAGTGTGTCAAGGAAACATCTGATGAGTCATAATCACTACCCAGTACAATAATGGTTAACCCAGAACCATTTACAGAATTAAGAAGGCGGCCGCAGCTATTTGTGGTTGGGATTCCTTACTAACCTTCATCTACCCGGGTTTTGATTTTGGCTCAGATGTGTGGTGAAAACTCCTTGACCGCAGGCTTCTTTTTAGGGGGCCTCTGGCTTCTTTTTAGAACCACCCCAAAAGGGTGCCCTTAAAAAGAGAAGAAACAAACATATATGGGAAATGTGTTGGACCAACTTTTCATGTCTGAACTCCTAAATATGAAATGGTCATGTGAATGTCTGCCAAATAACCTCCACAACTGGAAACGAGAACAACGAACGGAAGCACGCTTCATTGGTATGATCTGTTTGTTCGTTGGATCTGTTTGTTGGTTGGACCCTGTGGTGGCTTGGCTTGTAGAAAAAGCTTGGGGATGTGAGGGCATGTTGTTAACCTGAAAATATCTACGGGCACAGGACGAAACAACTGCCTCTTCTGTTGGCAGTTCTCATCCTGAAGGTGAGACAGCCTCCAGGTGAAACAAGTTTCCAACGCAATTTCCCCTGTAAACATCGCCTCAGACCTCCAGCAGCCACGAGCAAAACCAGGGGCGCTTCTTTGTCGCTGACTTTGCAGGAACCCCCACCCAAAGACCCGTTGAACACAGGCAACACTGGAGGTCTGGCTCACACGAGTCAACGGAACCCCGCAAGACTGTTCGAGCCCAGAAGACACCCTGACATTGCTCCAAACAGAAACCATATGGCCCTATGGCAAAACACATGGCTGTGGGTCAAAACCCCGCACCCCCAGTGAACATCCCAATCCCAACTAAAATAGATTAAAATGGAGGTGCACCTACCCCAAAATGGTACCATTGGTTTTGACCCACAGCCACATGCACAAAGGCACAATTCATGGTTGAAGTCGCATTTCGGGGAATCTGGGAAGCCTTGCAAAATGCCACGCCAAAGCGATCTCCCGTAGCGGAGCTCTTCGACGTGGCTGTCGGCATCGAGGATTCACAGCTGGCGGGATCCGGGCGACGAGACAAAATCTCAGTTGTTCAGTGACCGTGGAGAAAAAAAAGGGAACCCTTTTTGGGGAAAACCGTTTTTAGTGGGGCAGCCACCAAAAAGGAAGGAAAAAGGGTGCCACTAAACAACTGAGAAATCCAAGAAATCCCTCAAATGGGCTGATTTCCTACAGCGGGAACCCCTGACTGGAATCTTTCAGGAATGCCGAAGTTGGCGTGGGCAGTTAAATTTGGAAACCGACGCCCTTTCAATATGCAAACAGTTTCCCTTTCACATGGGGGTACGGTCTGTTTCTCGCGTTGGAGCTTAGGAAAAATCAGCATTTAACTTAGTTGCCCTGACGCTGGAAACACATAACTGAGCTGTCCTCAGATACCCTGCTAATTGTGTAACTTTAGCGGGCTATATGGAAACCCCCACTGAACCCCAAAAAGCCTGAAATCCCAATAAGGGGACAGCTGTAGATGGAAGATATCCTGGAATGATGATCCCCCTGTAAATACCAACGGACAATAGTTTCCCATAGTCCCATAGTTTCTTGCTTGGTGCTCAATGGATTTCGCATGCTTCTCCATCTTTGCTTGTTCTCTGCAGAAAATGAGGGCTGCATTGCAATTGTTGGATGCTTTCTGCTCCCTGCTAAAAGTTTAACTTTTAGTGGTTTAGTGGAAAACCCATTAGTTGGCAAAAAGTTAACGTCCTAACATCCAGGCAAAGTGCACCAAAGAATTGTCGGATGCTTGCCCATATGCAGTGAACCGTGTGAACTCTCGGCCCAAGAAACCGGGCAAGGACGAACTTGGGGGTCCACTGGCCCGAGTTCCGCTTCACCTGTCGAACCCTCCGATGCTTCGCCCAGCGTTCGTCTCCTTTGGAGACAAGTACCCCAGATGCCCACAGGTGCGTCTGACCAGAGCTCCAACTCCGGTTGGGTGAAGGTACATGGCACAAGTCAACAGGGACGCTTGTATGCAATTGTGCCATCTACTCTCACTCAACTGCATGCCCTGCAATCCAGATCATTTAGATGCAGCGGGTTCCACCATGCGTTTCACCACAGGATACTTCCACACCACCCAACTTACAAGGGGATTCTCTACATCTGGCAAACGTGCTTTTCTATCAGGCCGCCATGTGTGTTTAAAAAACACCGCGAATCCATGCAGACAGTGACTTGCTTGGGTCAACCCACACGCAGGGCAGCACTGGGACGGGCCATGGCTGAATTTTCGACGGAGCCAGCGAGCGCTGAGCCATTGGGGTTGAGTGGCCCTTGTGAAGCCCTTGAAGCCCTTTGGGTCCGAAGATGTCAGCATCAACCTGATTTTACCTTGGCCGCAATTAGGACCCCAGCAAGAAGCATTTGATTGTTTGCCCGGTTGGTGCAATACAAAGGGGACCCCAAAAAAGAAGAAAACAACGAAAAGGGAGCAATTCTGGGGAAGGCAATAGTAACAATAATCACCTTCATCTTCCAAGACCCGAAGAAAAAAAAAAGCCTTTGGCTGAATCTCCATTTCAAGACAAGAGGAACATCAAGAAGGACCCAATTTTATAGGGCCCTTGGAAGACCAAGGAAAGATCATTATAGCAATAATAGTGGCAATCATGACAAACAATAGCAAAACTGTGCTCAATTCTACCTGGATCAAGATCCGCAAGAAAAGACTTCGTGAGGTCGCTGCCCTGCCCAGATTCTTCAAGGTTCGAACAAGGGCCGAAAAGTACTTCACATCAACCCCCCGCCGGTTTTCAAAACAGCAGTCAAGGTAGGGATTCGGGATTCGCGGCCAGCCCGCGCGCCCTCATAAGTTCACAAGCATACCTCGGCGGAACGGCCGGCAAGAGTAAGCGACCTGAATACTGTAATGGGAAAAACCTGCAACAACTATGGCAACCCAACACCTGAAACCGAGCTTTCCAAGTGAGGGAGCTACATAACTTGCGCATAAGAGACCCACACAAATGAGAAGACGGCCAGGAAGCGCGACATCGAAACCATGGCGAAGGGATTTGTCCATGCACAGTAGCTCGTATTGAATGCTGAACTGGGGAGCAACATGTGCGTGCTGTGTCATGGCAGGGGCTTTGGTATACGTGTAGGGCACACGGGCTGACAGAATGGGCGCCGGAATCAACTCATGCTTCACGGGTCATCTTTTTGTTTTTACTTGGGGTTGCTGGCGATGGTCATGACCCCTGTCGTCAGTTCTCCATTTTGACGGCCATTGTGAGCGGTATGGGCATGCAAAAACACTGACATTTTTTGCAGCTCCCTTCTAAAAAATGAACAGGTCCAAAAACAAAACAACAAAACTTGTTTTGAACAGTCACGTGAGCTTGCCGAGGGAAGCATGACCATGATCCACACGAAGGTTTGGCCACGGCCCTGCCGACAGAGCGCAAGATCCTCGTCTTCCTCATCGTCAAGATACCCTCAGTGCGCAAGATTCTGCAAGAAAGTACGCTGGCTGAAGGCAGGTGTGCCTGTCTCACAGGCCAACCTGAACTGGCATATGGCCATACTGTGGACGGACGAAATCCTGCACCACCTAAGAAACCCTGGAATGATGATTCCCCCCTAACTACCAACGGACAACAGTTTTTCATGGTTTCAAAGTGGTGCAGGAATTCGTCCATCCACAGCATGGCAGTTCTCTCATCCCTGTTCAGGGATCCCTAGATTATCCGCTCCAACATTATGCCACTGAATGATTTGCACACGCATGTCAGAACCGGCCCGGAAGACTACCACTGGCCGGGATCCCATCCAGGAGAGAACACGAGTTTATGTCTTCGCTTGGTTTGCCCCGCAACACACTTTCTGAAGTGCACAGGAACCCTCCTTTGAAGTAGTGGGAGAAACGGGGTGCAACTAAACCAAGGCACTTTGTCAAAATTCCACGGGCTGCCTGCTGACTGTGGGAGTGGTTATGGCCCCCGCGGAGTGTCTGGCATCTATCTTCACAATGGGACTCCCTCACAGATGAAATTGAACATCAAACGCAGTACCCCTCGGGTAATGGTATGTAGCTGTCAATCAGGAAGCGGGCGAGAAAGCAAGCGAGACACACGAGCTGGTTAGCAGAATAGGCAATCTCACAGGACACAAGCAAACAAACAAACACAGAGCCAAATGCAGCAAGAAAGCAAGAAAGCAACGGAGCAAGCAAGCAAGCAAGCAAGCAAGCAAGCAAGCATGCAGGCAGGCAGGCAGGCAGGCAGGCAAGCAGGCAAGCAGGCAAGCAGGCAGGCAGGCAGGCAAGCAAACAAGCAACAAAACAACACGCGCACACACTCACAACAAACAAACACAACAGGCAGAAACAAACAATGAAACAAACAACCAAGCAACCAAGCAAAAAAAACGAACAGCGCAACAAGTCTTGCCACTCAACAACCGGGAGCCATGTTTGCAGGTGAAAATGCACGATTCGCCAACTGAAACCTCGGGAGCCAAGAAAGGAGCATTCATCGTGGGGGGCCCGAGGTTGCAAGCCCCTGCAATGGAACTTGTCCCAGATCACATTACCTACATGTGAGAGTTGTAAAGCACTTCAAAGACGCACATCAACTCACTTCCCGAGTAGACTGGCCAAAAAGTCCGAACTTGTTGTTTACAACTAAAATGGTCTTCCCAAAAAGTTTTAAGTCCAGGAACTTAGGAAGTGAGTCCAGGGTTGGAGAGCGTCCCTGCAACTTTGCACTTCCAAAGCCTTGAATGGATTCCCAGGTGAGGGGGCTTAACTACATCACAGCGAGCTCGTTCTGGTGAGGTCCTCCTTATCCCGCATGAGCCACTTGCCCCCCAGAAAGCTGACACGGAACACGAACAAGAGTGTCCCCCAAAAGGAGCTGCCTCTTGAAATGATGGCGTGTTGGGTTCGGGCGCGACTTCAGTCGCCCATATGGGTGTGTCGAAATAGGGGGTACCCTGGATAAAAGGGTGATTCACTTGTGGTTCCCCTGTCAGCCGACCTGAAACATGGCACCTGCAAAAACCATCTCCCCAGCTTTTTAGTGGTTTGAAGTTTGAAGCCGGGGAAGAGTTCCAGGGTGGTTCCCATTCACACTCTACAAGAACCATGGCTTCGAATCCAAATCCAGATGCCACCAACCCAAACCACTCGCCAAAGGTTACCTGACATAAAGCGGCCCCCCCCCAAAGAACCAAAAGACCACGCAAACCACCCAACCAAGAACACACCCCTGACCTCAACCTCCCCCCTCTCTGGGCTTCCCCATTTTTCCGCTCGCCCTCTCCCGGCCTTCCGGATCCCAGCCTTCCGAGCCTCGTGGCCCACGTGGCGCCAGAGTCCCGTCCCATCGCTAAGAACCACTTGGGACGAAAGTAAGGAACCTGGGGTCCTAGGTATTCCCAAAAAATCGTGGATGGATGATTGTCCAGTCGCACGGTTTTGAGGTTTCCACGGGATGGCATGAGCGGTCCCGGCGGTACCTGGGGACGGATGGATTGTTCAAACATCCACAGTAAGCATTCAGGAACCCACATTTGGACGAATCCACATTCAAAGCCACATCTGGGTTCGGAGAATAAAGGTTCAAAGCTCAGCATACGAGCGCCAGCTGAGTCAAATGTTCATCCCAAGTTGTGACCGAAGATCTGCCCCCCCCCTTACAAAACAAAGCCCAGCTTGCACAACCCTCCCTGAAAGCTGCTCCAAATCACCCCGAACAAGCCGGGCTCCTGTTCAACGGAACCCACAGGCCTGTTTTGACCCTAGCTGCCTTCCCGACCGGATTGTTTGCTTTGGCCCCTCTTGAAAAGACAACAAGAGCGGATGCTGCCATTTAAAGGGTTGCAGCCAGCTCTGACAAATTTCTGTAAGGTGCCGCCTGCCCAGACCTTGGAACCCTGGAGACCTGGAGAAACACAAGCAAACAAGAGGCATCAGGGTCCATTCCAACCAAGCCTTTCCGCTTCAATCCCTCAAATGTGAGGCTGGGTGTGCTTCTTGTATTGAAAACATGGAAGAAACCCCATCAAAACTGCTGGAACCCATCAATGTTTAACTAACTAACCGAAAAGGGCAGATATGTACCCAGCTTTTTGCTCTGCTTCCAGCCATGACCCATCCACAAACCTAGCCGCGATCTTCCACCCTAAGAAAGCAGTTGCCCGTGGCTAAATCGCCACTTCAAACCGAGAACATCAAGGACCAACTTGTCAGTGCCCTTGGAAAAACCAAGGCAACAACAACAATAAAACAATAATCCTGGACTCCCAAACGAGCACAAATTTGTGGCAAGCCCTTCTTTCGAGCAGTTTCTGCTTATACGAGCAGTTTTTCCTTATTCGAGCACTTCTTAAGAAAAAGACGAAATTCGAGCAGAAATCAACTTCCGGATGCTTTGGAGCGTGTGAGTTGTGCTGCCAGGGCCCACACCCTCCGCGTAGCAGGGGTTGGGGCAGGAAACTGCTCGAGCTGTGCTGTTCGGGCAACAAATGCGTGTTTGGTGCAAGCCTAACAAACCTGCACATGCTTGGCGTTTTGGCATTTTGGGGGCAGCTTGCAACCCGCAACCTCGAGCGCAATTTCCCGCAACTCGAGCGCATTTTCCCGCAACCGAGCGCAATTCTAAAAAGTGTCAGTGGGTCCGTTGTCCCGCAAACAAAAGCGCGCAAAGATATCCAGGTGCTCGAAAATGAAGATGCGCTGTCCACTGTGCACACATGTGACATATTGAGGCACGCTTGATGGTGTGAGGTTTGGCGCCTCCAAAATGCAATGATGCGCAAGCAAGGGCGCTCACTCGAGCACTTATTTGGCCTCGAGCGCATTTTGCCTGAACGAGCGCTTTTGGGAGAAACGGGCACTTTTTCCCTCGAGCGGAAATTTGTGCTCGTTTGGGGGTCCAGGATGATCATAAACAGTACTAGTGAAAATAATAACACATGACAAATGACAATATCAATAGCATTTTTTAGTGCTTCCAGCCATGGCGCCCCTCCGCTAGCCCTTCCGTGCCAAGAAGCTGCATGGTTCCGATGGCCGCGACGAAGGTGAGACTGCGACCTGCGCGGCGCGCGCCGCAAGCGAGACGCGCACCGAAAGCGCGCCGCGAGCTTTTGCCGATGACTCGGTGGTTCCTTGTAGTGGCATGAAAGGTTGACCCCGGGTTTCAAGGCCCCGAATTTTGGGAAACTCCCAGGGTCCCAAATTGATTCTGCCTCTGACTGGGATGGGTTATATATTCTGCCTCTGGCCGAGGATGGCAAACCCACTTGGCGCCAGTTGCATCCCAGTCTTTGAAGGGCTTCATCCGCGCCAGTGTGGTATTGGAAAGCGTGCATTGCCTTGCATGTGCATGCCAGTCATGAAGACTTTTCTTCAAGACCACCAGTCATGAACAGACTGGATGCCATGGGACGCTTGCAAGGCTTGCCCTTCGGAAAACCAGTCCCCCTGCACCAAAACACGGAATCAACTCAGGCGCAAACAAGCGGGTAACAGATGCATGACCAGCACAAAGTCTGGGAGAACCATGATGATTCACCAGTCTCAAGTTAACTCAAGTTAACTCAAGTTAAAATTAATCATGGATAAGGTTGCAACCGTTATGAGGTCAGGAATTTGACGAATGACTCTTTGCTTGGCCGGCCATTTTGCTTGGCTCAGCTTTGCTATTGCGGACCCAGCTGAAATAGCGCAAGTGCATGGGCAGGCGCATTTGTCGGTAGACCCTTTGCAATATTAAATCAGGTCAACAGCCTGGCTTTGGCAAAGTGGTCGCTCGTGCAGATTTCTGTGCCTTGATAAAGGGGCACCACAGTGCATTTGGGGGCTCCCAAGCATTGGTATGCTGCAATGTGATTCTTGTATTTCAGCCTCCCGCCAAACTCCGACAGAATCAAACAAAGAAATAAGCCAGCAAACCCGCCGGTTTTTTCAATCCACCAACTCCCCAAAACTGGCAAACACGTCGGTTTTCTTCCGGCCAACTCCCCAAGCACCGCTTTGGCCCACGGACGCGCTGCCCGCCCGCTCGCTCGCTCGCCAACGGCCCGGCCTTCAGCTCTGGGCTGCAAGGGCTCCCGAGGCTTGCCTGGCGAAGCGGGGCCCCGCGGTCCGGGAGGCGATTTCGCTGGGCACCGCCAATGCCCCGATGGCCCGATGGTTAGTTGTTGCGTTCTGTCTTATTTTCGGGGCCAAGTCCGTGGAGGGTGGCCAAAGCCGCTTGCTTCTCGCACCACGAAGTGAAGCCATGGTTGAAACCTTAACGGTTGTGGTTGGTATGTACAGGGGAATCGGCATTGGATTTCTTAGATGTTGCAGGATTTTCCATGCACAGTAATTAGGTTAGTTAGGATTGATTGGGAGCAAATAGGGTTGCGCCCTCTTTAAGCCCTGACAACAATGGCGAACTGGGGCAATGGGAACCCAGGATTACCAAACTCGTCCTACAAAAAAGTGAAGGATTCCCACCAACAGGGGACACCCCCTCGGTCTATAAGAATCCAGGGTCAACATGAAGCACGTCTCATTTTCAGGTGTTTGGTAAATGAGGTTCAGCCCATGAAATGACAAGGTGAGCGGCGCATATCCATGACTCTGTCACTTTCACAGCGACCCTTGCGGGAGACTTGACTCGACAGTTTCTTGCGGTTACGTATCTTGTCATTCACCGCTTTGAAAGTTCCCCCTTCCCGTGGCAGGTCTTTGGGAGAGTACCCGTTTGGGATGTCCTCAAGAAAAAACAACGGGGGGAAACTATATCAGCTCCAAGTTCCAAGTTTGCCTTGTTTTGCACCACACATGGGTATGTGTCAAAATAGGGGGACCCTCAAGAGTAGTGACTTTTGGTTGGGTTTCCCTTTAAATCAACCCGCAACATAGTACCCTCAAAAGAAACACAACCCCACATGGTCTAGGATTTGCCTAGGAAATCGCAGGAACAAGCCCGCTTTCAGGGTTGCCCTAGTTCTGCTAGGACACTTCTCAGGCATCAAATCAAGGGACACCGAGGAAATCTTATGCAAACATACCATTTCGGGGTGCATTGAGGGTGGGTCTACCTGGCATTGTCCTTCAAATAGTGGCTTAAAGGTACTTGTGAGAACAGGTTCCTCAAAATACGGAAACCCACTTCAAGGTGTCCGAGGCACACCGCTTCCCAAAGCCAACTTGAAGGGAACACCTTTCAAACGGGGTGCCTTCGTCGGAACCCTGGCTGATGTTTACACAGCCTAGCCCCTCAAACATCCCAAAAGCAACAAACCGAAACATGGTCAAAAGGGCAATGCCTACAACACAACGGATACAAGAACAACCAGCTGGTTCTCAGCAGGCAATGAGGAATGGAATGAACCTTACAAACCATCTCCTATGATTATGGCTTCCTTTATATAAGGGAATCCCCAGTTCATTGCATTTCTCATTCCGGCCCGCTCCACCTTGGATCGGACGTGCTTTGGGACATCAACACAGTTTGCAGGTGAGTTGTTCGCACCGCGCCTCTTTGCCAGGTGTTTTGTATGTTCATGCCACGATTTGGACTAGGTCCTCCAGTAGAGAGGTTAGAATAAGGCTACCCCTTTTTGCTCTAGTCTCTTTTAGGGCCTACCCCCAAAAAATGGTGAGAAAGAGCGCTACTGGGGGACCTAGTGGAAGATCCTCTTTATGTTTAACATGCTTGAGCATACTGTGGCCATGTTTCCACGATTTGGAAGATCCAGTTATCCCCCCTACCTTGCGGGGGAGGGGGGTGGGGGGTCCCCCAATTCCATTTATTTACTCTTCCCCAAAGGGAACATGGAACCATAAATGGAGATTATCTTTGTTGAGGGGTCACCCCCTCCCCCAATTCCACTTTTAAGGGGGTGGGGATATCCAGTTGCAAGACACCCCCCGTTCCGCCTTGCTGTCGCGTATCCGCGCCTCCGCCTGCCGGGGAGGGGCTGTGGGCGGGTGGAGGGCGGGCTGCTCCCGTCAGATCGAGCAAAAGGCGTCCCCAAAAAAAGACGGTTGTGGGGGGAGGGGCGGGGAGTTCAGCTAGCTGAAACGTGCCTTTTGGTGAGGATTTTGCCCCCCCCCCCCCCCCAAAAAAATAAAAAGAAGGTTGGGATTGGTTGCGGGGAGTTCAGCTAGCTGAAACGTGCCTTTTGGTGTGGATTTTGCCCCCCCCCCCCCCCCAAAAAAATAAAAAGAAGGTTGGGATTGGTTCAGCTGCTGGCTAACAAATGTGCTGCTTTTGTGTGTTTCGGATGGGTGGTTTGGGGGTTGGGGGTTGGCTTGGTGAATGAGTTCACTTGGTCAACAAAGACGCAAGAAGGGAGAAGAAGGTGCAACGGTGCAACCGGATTTGGCGGACACGTCCGCTCAGGGGGCAGGGTGGGAACTGCCCACTGATACCAAAGGAAGGCCTTCCAAATGGCTGGTACAAAGTGGGAACCAACCCCTCCCCACAACTCTGCGGCTTGCTTTTCCAGAGTAAGGTCTCAACATAGTTGACTAATGTACGTCTAATCTCAAAAAATATTCATATGATATCCATTGTATTCCGAGAAGCAGCTATCCAACATGTTCACATTGTCGCTTTCAAGTGTCCAAACGGCTGAATGCGCTGGTTCCAGGACGCCCAGCACCCGACCAACTGAAACTATGGAACCATGTCTTACATTCTATTGCGAGGGAGGGAAATGAACTTTTTGGGGTTGACCATTTGTTCCGGGGACCCTGCCAAGCAAAAAACAAAACAGGGATTGGGAGTGTGCAATCCACTGAACGGGTCGGCTATGCTGTGAGGGCGAGGGGCCCTTGAAAGCAAATTGGGATATCTGACACATATGTGTCATCCGTTGTCCTCTTTGCTTCTTGGGTCCTGAGACTGAGCAACAGGGGGGGATTTGAAAGGCCTCATTCCCCCATTTGCCCCAACCCGGAAATGAACTAAACTGAAAGTGGGCTACTGGGTTGCTCCAAGCCCCATCACGCTTTTTCATTCACGAGCGGCCCCTTTTGGCTGGTGGGCGCACGATGACTGGATGTTGACACATGTTTTAATTGGTGTGTTCTAAAGCCCCAGCAAAAACAACTCGGTTGCTTCTGCTCCCCTGCTCTTGAAGTGCTTTAATGGAAAACTCATTAGTTGGCAAAAAGTTAAAGTCCTAGCATCCAAGCAAAATGCACCAAAGACAAGGAAAAACAAAAACCAAGAAGTCAGATCTCGGTTTGGCAAGTGATCCCCGGCTCTGCCGACGCCCCGCGGCCCCAAAGCGAGCGGGGACCCCACCTGGAGGTTTCCTGGGATTCGGTCGGGAGCCCCAAGCCAACCTTTGTATTTTGGCAAAAGTTGTTGCAGGTTTTGAGGCTTTACGTTTTAACCCACAATCTGGCGCCCCAAGGATAACAAGAAACAAACAAAAGCAACTGCATTCAAAGAGCCATGGGGTCTTAGCCACACCCCCAGCTGCCAACAAATGCCCCGGGATCGGCTTCGGCTTGAAACTTTCCGAAGATCTCGCTTCGCCAACACATCCCCCGAAACGGAATCTGACGATCGGATGGACCGAACGGCTTGGAAGCCGCCGTTTCAACGAAAAGGCAAAAAAAAGAACCGAATCTTCGAGGTTGGCTGACCATGCTTCCCCAACAAAAAGGGCAAAGGGTGCCGCTGAGCAACTGAACGCCCGTGTATGCGGCTTGATCCTGGGAGCTGGTGGCAAAGGAACAAACGGAATTTGGGCTTGAAGATGCTTTATGCAAAACCCCTGCCTTCAACACAATTTGTCCAGCTTGAGTCATGGCCACGTGGCTGGGCTGTTCAAAATGGAGCCTTGGCCAATTAATTCTAATCCACAATCCCTAGTGGAAAGACACTGCAAAGAGTGCCAAACCCTGTCGCAATGCAAGGGATGGATCTCGCGGATTGCCCTTGGACAACTCAGAGTGCAACAAAGCCACAACTACAGGCGATGCCAGAAACTGACCTTCTCACTTAGGGGCCGTATTGAAAAGAAGGGGCTCCACTACCCAGCGAGGGGTTCATGGTACCCCCATTCTGTTTAGCTTCCAGAAAAGCCAAAGGAAAACCACCAAGTTTAAGGGGGCTCATATCTGGAGACAAGGCCAGTCGTTGCTCTGTTTGTCAAGTGCCAGCTTTTGCTGATTCAAATTTGGGGCTGGAAACGCTACCAGCCCGGGCCGCTGGAACCCCACGACCCCTCCCCGTCATCACATTTCTTGGGAGTAGGGATGCGGCCGGCCAAGTTAGCCTGCGAAAGCAGCAACAACCCTTGCAGGACTGACATGAGAGTTCCCCTTTGAAGGAGCCATCACTAGGCTTAGGCCTCAAAAAACATGACATTTCGGCTCGCCCCAACTTTCCACTGGCAAGGCTTTGCTACATACACAACGCCTAAGACAAGCAGCCATATATGGCTTTGACTTTCTTTGAGGGTACGCAAGCTCCAACTCCAAAGTCGCAAGTATTTGGCACAAGCGCAGTACGCAAAGTGTAAGCCAGGTGACGGCAACTACTTGTATAGCGGGTGTGGGATAAATTTGAATGCCCCTGAGCTTTGCAACACACAAATGTGCGGAGCTAACAAAGCCAGGAGAGTCCTTCTATACCCCCGAAAGCATCGCTCCACACAAACGCAAATCACCTAGAACTAGTCCAACAATTTTCATGTTTAACCGGGGGCAACACATAATGGGAGGTATTGAAAAAATGAACAACCTAAGCCAATCCCCTTTTGGATTCCTTTTGGATACATGGACATGCTTATGTAATTTAGTGCCCGGCCAACTCCTCGAAAGAAGACAGTGGCTTAGTGGCTCCCAAACGACTCCTCACCGTCCCTCCAAAAAAGTCCGAGCAGCTGACACCTGAGCACAGGCTGGCTGGCAATCTTTGGGATACGCAAGGGGGGGGGGGGTCCTTTTGGGCCTGGTCCTTTTGGGCCTGGCCCAAGCAACTACATGCACAAACGCGCACACACACACACAAATATATGTGTGTATAGGCATATATGTATTGTATAAGCGTAAGTATGTATACACATGATTACACACATAAATGTGCATACTTGGGGCCTATTAATGGCCTACACGTACACATTCTCGTTGACTTCTTGCAGGCAATTGCCCCAAGGGTTACGGAGCAGGTGTTGGCTGAATGGACTGCTTCTGGTGATCTGGTGGTTGGGTTACCCTCCCATCTGGGCTACCCCACACATCATGGGTATGATTTCTCGGTTGCTTTCTGCTCCCCTGCTAAAAGTTTATCTTTTAGTTGTTTAAAAGAACACCCACTAGTTGGCAAAAAGTCAAAGTCCTAACATCCAAGCAAAATGCACCTCTGATTCATTTCATAGTCAGTTCACCTTAATTAACTGTAGAATAGTTTGAGAAGACCTCGACATCTGGACAGACCGATTCCTCTGGGGCCCGGAGGTCACCCTCTTCACCATGGATCCCCCTAGCCTCCAAACCACGGGGGCACAAACGACCGCTTTGGGTAAGGTGGTGCAAACGGTCCCGCGCCAAACGAAGAAAGAAAACGAAGAAGCACATGCGACGGAATGGCTACATCGAGCAACCAGCCCTAGGCACCTGTGCCAGAATCTGGGCCCTGAAAAATAGAGAGGTCCGTGGCTGGAGGCGTCAACTTCACATCGCTTGATTCACAAAGAAAGCGCACCAGCAGTAAGCAAAAAACCAAACAACTACAGCAAAATAACCAAGACCAACATAAACCCAAACAGGCAGGCAACAAAACCAGTCGCCAGTGTCAGCCATTTGGTAAACATGTCCCTTGAGGATCCCAAGCAAGTGAAAGCAGTCAGCCGAGCTTCGCGTCTTGACATTCCTGTGATGCTTCCGCACATCCTGCAAGGCAGCTCCCTGGGCCCCCTGGCAGCGATCGAGCCGAGCGAAAAAAAATCGGAGGAGACCTCGCTGAGGGATTTTTTTGGGATGCCCATGGGGTGGCGTTGGTTCAAAGGAACATGCAAGGGAAACGCAGAATGCGCCACTTTTTTCACTGTTTCAACAACTTTTTTTATGGGGCAAAACCAATTGTTCATCGGAAAACCCAAACGGAATCGGAAAACGACAATGTGATGAAGTAGAACCGGACGCCTTTTGGAGCCAGGACGACTGGCTGTTGATTCCATGTTTAGTGGGCCCCAAACCCACCAAACCCAGGGTGCCACGAAACAACTGGCGTGAGACAAAGGCAACAGACCCTCCATCACCCTGCTACCATTTGCCTGGCAAACCGCCAATTTGCTAAATGAATCGTTTCGGATCCCCTTCACCTGATCCTCCCAAAGAACTTCTCAAGACACCAACCGGGCATGCCATAAAACCACAAAACCTGGCTGAGGAACCACGGGATGTTCGAATTCTGGCTGCTTGATTCCATGTTTATATTGTGGCCCCACCCCCCCCCCCCCGAAAACCCAGGATGCCATCCCCAGGAATCTGAGGGTTGTTGTACTACACCCTGGCATTGGGAAATGGCCCAAAATGGTCCAAAAGTCCAAAATATCATGATTTTATCCCGGACATATGCCTGCATGGGGTCATTTCCCAGTGGGCGTAATATCAGGGCGTAATTCTATGCCCGTGCAAACTGCCTGTTGAACACCATCCATGAGGCAATGGCGAGCCAAGGGCTTGACATCTCCCTGCCAAACTTGCTGGTGCGATAGGCAGGCAATAACAAAATGAACCCGGGAAAAACCAATCCCTCGCGGTTTCCTTTAAGTTAAAGGGGATCCATTCATTCCATTCTCATTCCTACCTATCGCACCTGGTCATCAGCAAGCCAAACCGGATCATAAGCTGCAAAGGTGACGGCAACGGCAAAACCGGAAAATATTTTCAACAAGAACAATCAGAGGCCTTCAAAGACTCAAGGCCGTAGCACTTCAGCAACATGACGCCTCAACGACTCAAAGATCCTCAAAGCCTCAAACCTCAACAATCCAAAACCTCAAAGCCTGAAAAGGTTCCATGCGCCAACGGCCACCCAATTGATAACCAACTTATCGAAACGGGAACTTATACATGCCAGTCATGTTGGCAAGGCTTCAACAGCATTGATTTGGCTGGAAACGTTCGTCTATCACTCAAAAGGGAGACACACACAAACACAAACACACATGCACACGCACACACCCACACACACATGTTGCACAAACACAACCCCACCCAACCCTATAGGTGATGTCCATCATAGGGTCCAGGCACGCAAAATGCGGCCTCTTTTACATAGAGCCAACAAACATATTAATCATGTTCAGGATCAAAGCGTTTACGGGGGGTGAACCCTTTGGTTTCCTTCCGTTCGTTTGCAGGGTACTTGGATGGTGCACTATTTCATCAATTGTAACTCCATTGGTCCGTGGTTCTGACTGAGGTAAGTGGACCTTCGCAATCTACTCAATGCCCTCCAGATTGACATGCCCCCTAAAGCCATCATCCTCATCCCTTTGCTTCAGTCCCCGGCATGTTACAGTAGTGAGGGGTTCCTTTTAAGTTTTAAAACCAACGGGGGAACGCAAACTATACACACTGTATCTTCACAGCCCTTGCTATACTCGCGCAACACCTTGCTCTTGGCAGCCCCCTGCTTAAAAGCGACAGAACCAATACAACAACTTGCCAAGATAAGTGAAGAGTATGCTGACGCGAATAGACATCTTATCTTTAGGGAAGCTAGGTCCTCCAGTAGAGAGGGTAGAATAAGGTTTAGTAGGGGAACCCTCCCCCAAAAAGGGGTAAAAGGGCACTACTGGGGGACCTAGGAAAACTCATCCTCGGCCCGATGCATTCCCCGCTGCGTCGGGGGGCGAAAAAAAGTAAGCAGGTGTCCTTTTTGGTTGTTTTGATCGAAAAATCGATGGGTTTCGAATCCTGGTTTACCTGGTGGTTTCATCATCTACCAGGGAAACCCATCTATTTCCAACCTTAACAAAACACGCAAAACGCCGGCGCAAGCGCCTCCATGAGACGCTTCTCGAGGCGGCCCAGCATGGAGGTGTGCTTCGTGAGAAGGTCCACAATCGCCCTGACCCAGGCGAGTTCCCCGCCACGATTTTTGTTTGCTTCGCGGAAAAGAAAAGCCAAATAGCCTGGTTTGAAAGGGAAACCAGGAAGCCAACAGGAGCCGACAGGAAAACCAACTTTTTTGTCAGGCCCTTTGTACACCTGGGCTGTCCGTTTTCCGATCCCCCGCTAAAAGTCTTTAACTTTTAGTTGGTTGAATGGACATCTCCACTAAACACGAAAAGGCTAAAAAGCGAAGGAACCGGATGGCTGGGAGCCAAAAAGGAAACTGCAGATCAGCTTCCCCCCTTGGTGGTAAATGGGAAGCCACCAATCCAAACCACCAATCCAATCCAAACCACCAAGTTGAGGGAAGCTGAGCAGAGGTCCTCACTTCAGATCGAGTGGACTGGTCAGAAGAGGTCGCACTTGTTGTTTACCACTCACATGGTCCAAACGTAACAAGTGACCAAAGTGTATGATCTCGGGGAGTGAGGGTCCCTAACTTTAAAAAACGGAACACTGCAATCAGGGGGGCTGGGGGGGAGGGAGCCAAATAAGCCCTTATTAAGCCTCTGATAAGGCCTTATTTAGGGCTTATTTGGGCTCCCTCCCCCTCCCCTCCCTCCCCCCAAGCCCCCATGATGCAAGGAAACAACACTTCCTGTGATTAAAAGATCTTGAAAAGGGATCGCCCTGATGCAGAGTGAGGATACCCGTGTTGAGAGCGGCGATATAAAGGCACACCAAAAATAGACTAGCTTTTTCGGGGTTTCCATTTTGACACAAGCATAGACGCTCTTATTAGACGAAGAAAACGGATTGAATCTGTGAAAAACTATATGTTCAACGTTTTGTCGATCTGACATCCTATTTGTGGTTCTTGACAGCTTGAGTGTATCTTAGTGAATCCTGGAAGTATGTTTGATTAACAATGATCAATTTAAAATTTCAAGCACTGATGAAACCAAAAGTTGAACCCCCGCCTCCTTCTGGTACATTCCACTTGATGAAGCATTCGAGCTGTTGTAAAAGCAAGTTTGCGCACTTATACTCAACTTTACAGTGGCTCTGTATCGGCATCAGGTAAAGCATCCAATGCATACACATTGGGTGGACAAAACCTTCCTTCTGGTCCTTTGTATGTCCCATATGATTCCGAAGGTTAAGGTCAGAACAAAAACCTCGGGAACAGGTATCAGAATTAGAAAAGGTGCAAACCAAGAAAGCTTGAAACAACAAATGAACATGACAAAATAAACTGGACAAACATTGACTTGAAATGCGGAACTGACACCTGGGAGCATGACCGGGGAATTGAAGAAGATGGGAAGGTACCGCAAGGAAACCCAAAGTGGGATCAAAGGACTCACCTAGCGCACTTTGGCCAACTCTTGCTGAAAATAATGGTCTTCTGCTTCAATTTAGTAAATTTAGCCCACCCCAAAAGTAAATATGGATAGTACTTTCCAGTAAGAGCTCTCCGGATCCCTGCTACACAACCAAATTCGATGTGTAGAACAGGTGCCAAGCCTTCAATTGAGCAGCGCCAAAACCGGTTCATTGACTTGCGCATGGTTTCCACAAACATCGCACCTATGCGCGGGCACCTGAAAGATTTAGTTTCTTCAATGGGGCCTGGGGCCATCCTAGTGGGAAGGAGGGTAGCCCTTCCAGTCCTTTTGCTGGCCCAACCCCACATACCTTTGCCAGATTCTGTTTCATATTTCAGTCCCGAGATTTCGCCTTTAAAAAATCAGCCACCAAGAGCCACTCCCAGCTAAACATTGCCCAAACCACAAAAATATGCATAAACTACCCGACATGGAAAGCATAGCAAGCTCCGTGATTCGCCAACCTCAGAATAGAGCAAGCACTTCTTGGTGGAGACCCCGGTGCTTCTGACCACCCAAACCACAGATTCAACTGAAATGGGTGTCTTAAGGCGCGCCCAGCTGCTGCAGAAGTAGGGACAGCTGGCCCAAACCAATGAAGCCATAGGTCAGATTGAACCAACCTCGGGTTGCTCACCCCCCTTGCGGGTGTGTGTGTGTGTGCCTAACACAAGGGACGAAATCAGCAGCACACATAGTCACAGTTGTTTCGCTTCTGCTCGCCACTGCACTTGGCATTCAAGTTCCCAGCCCCATCCCAAATATTTCGGTCCTTGCAGCACAAAAGTCAAACACAAGCAGAGCCTGTTCTCCCCCCTTCGCGGGGACCCTGTTGCTTTTTCGTCAGCTGAGCTATGCAGGCAAAAAACAAAAAAAACTACAGGTTTGGGCAGGGGAGAAGCAGGAAGGTTCCCTTCATCTCCTAAAGAAACTTCTGCTCAGGCCCTAAACGCCTGGCTCGGTTGCCCAGTAACCCTGGTAGGCTGCCATGTGCTGCACTTTTTGGTAGTTTGTGCTTCATGTGTTTGTTTGGTTTTCGTGTTTGAGCGAAAGACCCCGAGTTGCTGACGAACCCCGACCCCAGTCCGGGCCTGGCTTTCTCAAAGGGGAACCTCATGGCCTGTCCCGGTGGTTTCCCCCTTTTTTTTCACGACCCACTAAACCACCAACCCGACCAAAAGACGCTCGGGATCTTTTCGAGAAGCAATCAAATGACCCCAGAACACCTGCCGCCTTCTTTTGGGTGAGACCATTTCTGGTTGAGTCATTGGTTCCCCCAATCGTTTTCCTGAACCTCCCCCGTGGATGTCTGGCAGCGTCCGGCATTGGTCTGTGGCACGTAGTCCCCCAGGCCAATTGTCATCAACGTCTCCCAGCAGAACCACAGCGACTCCTAACGGCTCAAAGGCTTTGATCACCCCCCGTTGCATACGTCGCCTGGGAAGAAAGACGAAGAAACATAACGCCGCATATGCATGTCCAGTGGTAGGTTCCCTTGAAAACACACCATTCTTATCGCCAGGTATGGGTTTTGGAGACATGGAGGCTATAGCACATGTAAAATGGATATGCAACCACCTTACAGGCTTATGTTGGTTGTTAAGGATCCATTCCTCGAGAACCGATACCAGGAAGTGCCCTTGAACCCGAACCCAAAATTGTCATGGAGGTCCCCCCCCCATTGTGCATTAGCTCCTATTTACCCACCAAGACCATGTCCAATCCGCAACTCGAACACCCTGCCAATGGGCCATCGGAGACAAATTGCACGCTTTGCGTTGGCTGTTGATCTGAAAAGGGCACCAAAACTGTGTCTGATGTTTTGCTTTTTAAATCAATCTAAAAAGGGTGCCCTCAAAACATGCACCTTCTGGTGGGAAGCCCGGAAACGGTCACACAAGTCCAAACCTAAACCCGGCCCAGGCACCGCCAGAGCCACGTCTCGAGGATTCTTTCGGCCGAGGGGCCACAAAGCCCCAGGCTTCCAGCTGGGTGAAGACCAAAGTTCCGATCATCAGCCAAACGAAGGTGCAGATGGCGCTCAGGAAGACCTGAAGCAACTGAGGTGGAAGTACCTTTTCCCCTTCTTCATACCCCAGAAACCAGCAAGCCAGGAAATTCTACACGAAGCTAGCCAAATATCCGGCAAAATCTGGGGTTTCCTATAGTTAGTTTCTTAGACCTTGCTTAAAGGGGTATGTAAAAGGGGTATGTACAAGCACCCCTGGACAGAAGCGACTGAGGAATTTGGTAGGCAGTCTACACTTCAGCTTACAAGAACCAGGGGTTCAAATGCCCAACCCCCCAACCCAAACCACCAGCTAGGGGGTACTTGAGATGGAGCAGTCTAAATTAAACAGGTCGGGAGGCAAGTATTGTAAACACCTGAAAGGATTCGATTCCCTGTGGGTAAGGGGGACTGCAGTAGGACCACCCCACTGACACATAGACTGGATGGACTTCTCCGCTTTCCGGCGTCAGGACCGGGGTTGGCAACCCCAAAGTGCAAACAGCACCAGGTTGATTTGGGCACAATTCCTGACTAAGCAAAATGAAGGGATTGTGACACACACTGTAGTAGTTATAATGCAGAAGATTACAGAAGCCAGCAAACCAGGAATTTCTACAGGAAATGGGCCAAATACCCCACCAAAGACGAGGATAGATGCAGGAGGACTTACCCTACATGTGTCCCATAGAATGGTGAATTCTACAACCTACGTGGTGTGGGACCTGTCAAACCAAAGCAAGCAGTTGGAACCAGTGACGAACTGAGTGCCCAAAACCCAGCCGGGGTAGATGCGCAGCTTCCAACGAAAAGACTTCTCCGGCGCAAGAAAAAACAAAAAAAAGCCTGGTTGCTCCAGTCATATTTGACCACCCGGATCCTGCCAGGGATCCCCGAAAAAGTCCCAAAAAACATCGTTGCTCCAGTCATACCCAGCTCTGAGCACTCATAACCTTGGGATCCCCAAGGCCAACGTGAGCTCGTGTCCCCCGAATCAGTGAGCTCCCAGCGGTCCCATAGGAACATCGCCGATTTCCAACTCGTGGATTTGATAAAACGGTTCCACTTCTAAGCCTGGCTCCAACTTCCAGTCGGATACCCCAGTTTCCCCGGCGACAAGAAGCCTGGTGGTCCTTGACCATCCCAGAAAAGTCAGCTGAATGGTGACTTCGTGACCTTGGGACCCTGAAGACATGCCCGCCTCAAACTCCCACGCCATCCAAAACTGAAAGATAGGCAGCCTAGACCCTACGGTTTTCCGCGTTCCTTAGATCACATAAGATCAATTAAGACCGACCCAGGCGCTATTAAAACCGCGGGACCCCTCACTGCTTATGGGTTTAAAAGCCGGCCTCGTGTGATTTGGTTGGCACAATTCCCTTTGGCTAGCTTCCCAGCTACCCTGCTAAAAGTGTTTAACTTCTACTGGTTCAGTGGAAACCACTTATCAAAAAAAAACAACCTAAGAACCTAAAACCCTTTCTGATGGCTGGGCTCCGCCCAGCTTTAGGTTAGGGGGGATGACCCAAACCAGCGGTTTCTGCCGCCCCGGCCCCCCCCCATGACCCCAGTTCCGCCCAGGGGCCGACAGCCGGACTTTCTGGCGGCGTGCATTTGGGAACTCCAGGAGTAGCCTGGAGGCCGGCGAGTCTCCAGGGGCTTCCACTTCCATTCTTTCCAGGGATCCGAATCTTTTCAGGAAACCATCCAAAACCCAGGGGAAACAGATGCAGTTTTTGAAAAGAACGATGGTTGAAAAGAATGGACAAGGAAGCAACCCCTAGAGTGTCGCACAAAAAACCCATCGGTCTCAAAATGGCGTGCCCAAACCAATATTTTCAGAACTAAGGCAAGGCAGCCCCAACCTTTCTGGCGGGGACCTTAACCTTCACTTCAGGTTTTGATTATAGCCCAGGACCCGACTCAGAACCCCTGCAGAAATGACTGGGTTCATTAATTCTTAGCTGGAATTTGGACCCCAGAAACAAATATATATATATATATATATATGTTCCAGGCCGTGGACCCCCCCCCACCCCCCCCCCTGTGGGGGTGGGGTGGGTGGGTGGTGGGGTGGTGGTGGGGTGGTGGGGTGGTGGTGGTGGTTGGGTGGTTGGGTGGTTGGGCCAACCCCCCCCCCCTGTGGGGGGTGGGGTGGGTGGTGGGGTGGTGGGGTGGTGGGGTGGTGGGGTGGTGGGGTGGTTGGGTGGTTGGGTGGTTGGGTGGTTGGGGTGTGGTTCGGAGTTGGTGGGTTGGTTTAGGGTTGGTTCAGGGTTGGTTCAGGGTTGGTTTGCGGTGGGTTTCGGGTGGGTTTGGGTTTTGGTTGATTTAGGCTTAGGGTTGGGGTTAAGGAGGGGTTGCAGGGTGGTTTGGTTTAGGGTAGGATGTTGCGAGAGGTGCGGGGGTGTTGGTTCACGGGGTAAAAGGGGGTCTGGGACCGAAGCTGCAGGGCTCGCACGGTACTGGACAGCATCCCCAGCATTGCCAGCATCATCCCCAAGATGCGGATGATGCGGGGGAGTGGGGGGACCATACCATTGGGGGGGGGGGGGGGGTACGTGGCCCAGGGACTGGTACATATATATATATATATCGTTTTTTCCTGGTCGGGGGGTGACTTTGATCATGGTAAAATAATGAGCCAGAATGAGGCAGGGGTTAGTAAACCTACGGAGACTTGTATCCAAGATAAGTGGGTTATAACTTAAAACCATGAGTATTAGCCACTTACTAAGTACCTTCCCCCTTCAAGTATGTCAATTCCGTTTCCCTCTGGTTTGGAGGTGTTCAAGAGTGGTTTTCCACTTACCCTCTGGGAGAACCAGGCAAATAACCCCAAAGGACCATTGCAAACCACCTGAGATCCTCCTTCCGGCAGTCCAGCCGAGCCACTCCCCTATAGACCTTGATTGAAGCAGCCGGAACCGCAAACCCTACGACTGTCCATCGCCATAGAGATTCCGCTATTTTGTTATATATATATATATATGTTGTTAATAACCCCACATGCCGAAAACCAAGCGGGAACAAAAAACCACAACCAAGAAACAGGCGCACATAGTTGGGGGAGAGCCGTAAACACAACGGTCGCAGTTGCGTCCCGGAAAATCGGTAACGACCAGTCGAAGGCGAGGTGCAGTGCTTGAGAAAATTCTTGGATGGTCACCTGCGAGGAGTCGCCTGAGATCGTCGTGACCGTGATTCTTGAACGGATCTTCACAACCCTTGGTATGGGCTTGCCAAGAACTGACTGTTTTCTTTAACAGACCCAACACCAAAAAAATGCCAAGAACGGCAAAGATAGTGTAGATGGTTGCGACATCCGTTCAACACCACAAAATGAATCCACGGTTGAGACCTGAATGGTTGTTCGTATTTACAGGGGGGTCTTGGGTGGTGGGAAGCCGCAAAGGACTAAATTCAGTGCCTTCCCTTTGGTTTGTCGGTTAAACAAGCCCGCAGCAAAGGCTAACATCAACAACGACGTATTGCGAACAACCGCCACTCAAGTATTCAAAGCGTACCAAACCCTGAAGACTGCCACTTTCTTCGCAGTTTAGCACCGCGGCTGTCCATTTAGACCCACTCTTTGAGTGGCTTGGCAACCAAACAAGTCCAAGATGGGAAGTTCGTCTGCGAATTTTACCTTCCCAGAACCCTATGGTGGACATGATTCAGGTGGGGTTTGTTGTCCACCAACCACTTTTGAGGAGGTTCCTCAATTAAATTCATGCTGAGTGAGCGGCCACAGTTCCAGTGGCCACTGGCCATTAAACAAAGAACTTACCCCTGGGGGTAGTGCTTTCGGGGTGGTGCTTTCTCAGTTAGCATCTTTGACTGGACCCCGCCGCAAAAACCGGGAAAAGGTCGACCTGCTTTCGTTGCAACTGACAGGCCAAAACAGAAACCCTCATAGCCGCCCACACTCGGAAAAAAAAAGTCCAATATTAAAATCGATTCCCTTGACAACACCAAACAACCATTGGAAAAAACCCGGCGGAAATCAAACAAATCGCCCCCGGCGCAGGCTGCAACGTGTTGGAGGCGTCCTTGGCACTCTCTTTCCCAGATTCTGAATGGTAAAAGCCGGGCCAAGTCTCTCAACAGTCTGGGACTAATTCACGAAACATCCAAAAGCTGAATCTGAATTAAGAGTTGGATCCACGTGTAAGTAAAGGAACTTTGCCATGGTGAGCTCGTTTCACCCCCGAATCGGTGAGAATGAAGAATTGGAACCCTTTCCGTTCCCTTTCGGGCCTTGTTTGGCTAAGGGATCCACGTGTAAAGGACCTTTATCAGGGTTGGATCAAGATGCGATCTATGGCTACATTCTCAGTTCTGTCTCAAACTGGCGGAATCCCAAAGATGGGCAGTTTCCCTCTAACTCTCATTTCCCTTCCAACAAAAACAAGGAGAAAGAAGGGTCCCCTCCCAAAAAGGACACGCCCATCGTCCATCCCTAGGTACGTGCCACAGATGCCCAGGTTCGAGATACCCTTGCTCATTTGCTCGCCCCAGCCAGTAAGCCAGTTCGTGTTTCTTTGGAAAGGCAGCAGTGGTGCTCGCTTTTGGCCCCCGGAGGATCGTACTCATCAGGGGGGCTCCTCTGTTAGCAGGGGAACTAGGTCCGCCAGTAGAAAGGTTAGAATAAGGGTACTGTAGGTTTTGTCTATTTTGGTAGGGCAACCCTCCCCAAAAAAAGTTGGTAAAAGGGCACTACTGGAAGACCTAGGAAATGACCTTTTTCCGGAGGGCCCGGTTCCCTGACTACAAAAAGTCCTCCAAAATTCGAGCAAAGGACCGATAAATCCCTGGTGACCTGTGGGCTGTGCCAAGTGAGACTTTCCGGGATCCAGTTGGCCCAACCACATCTCCAGTTCGGGCTGCATATGTTCACCTCTTCCATGAGAATGTCCACATCCTCTTCCGACACCTTGCAAATCTGGGTGCTCAATAGGGACTGGGCAAAGCCCTTTAAGTTTCCCCAAAACAAACATATGCTACCGTTCAACATATGGCCCTGGGTCAAAATCCCGTATCCCCAGTGAGCATCCCAATCCCCACTAAAAAAGACTAAAATGGGTGGGGCACCTAGACTCTTCAAAGCACCACTCTGGTGCTACTGAGGCCTTATTCGCAAAACGGTGCCTCCTTTTTGCCGCATAAGGGTTAGTGCCAAAATGGGAGGATTGCCCAGCTCCACTGGGCAGCTCCCCTCAGCAGCTGATGGGAGTAGGATTGATGCCACTCCCACAGCGAGGGAGGAATCCTCCCACCTCACCGGATGCCCTCCCGGCATTATGGGTGAGGAAGGAAAGTAGCGAAGATCAGTGTGATCAATTCGCTTTCGACTGAGGGGAAGACCCGGTTCTCAGTCGGAAATTGCGGGTCCGGATGAGTAAGTTCATCCGCCCACGTGTTAAAGTCGCGCTTCACATGCGACGGCCCCAACATGACCTGCTGGTCATGCAGCGTTAGCACAATTTCCATGAGGATGGCCGCATTGGGCATCCTGCGAGTGGAATCGTTAAGAAGGGAGAAAACATTTCCCTGGTTATCACTAGCAACCAGGATCCTAGTGTGAGAAGCCGAGCCGGCTGCACAAAGCAGAACGGCCCTCACCAAAAGGAGGAGGCCGAAGAGCTCCAAGGCCGCTATCGCCCGCTGCGGGTCCCCAGTAGTGAAGGCCCACGGCTCGCCCTCCGGTGTGATTCTGTGCTGGAACCACTTCACACGGGACTTGTCGGGGTTGGGCACGTCCGAGCACCAACCACCAACCCATGCATGGTCTGCCTGTCTGCCAGCTCCCGCATCAGATGCCCCCGTCCATGGGAGTGTGGGAGCAAACGGAGATGCCAGTGGGAACCTCTGGTTGAAGAGTCTCCCCAAAAGGATGGCCAGAGCACGAACCAGCTTCGGTGGCCTGCCCGAAGTGGTGCAGGCCTTCTTCCAGCTCCAAAAGGGCTGGAGGAAAGGTTTCGTCAATGGGCATGCCGAAGTAGCCCATTGAATACGGCCTAGGGCTTGTTCCACCTCCTTGCTGGTGAAGATGTCCCCCTGGGCCAGCCGTTTAAGAGTGGCCAGGATTATGACGTGTTTGACTGGAGCCAGCAGTACACAGGGCGTGATTGGGTCCACCACAAAGCCCAACCAGGTATTGATCGGGGAGAGCGCCGTCTTTTTCCAGGAAAGCGGGACTCCCAGCGCCAGCAGTGTAGCCAGGATGGCTGTGGCGTCCCAGTCCGCCCGGCTGCATCTGAGGACCCAGCAGTAGTCGTCCACAAAGACTAAGTGCCAGTCCACCTGAGGGAAGATGTAGTACAAGAGTCTGAGCACCAAGGATGCCTTTCTTCCCCAGTACAGTTGTGCCGAGGCCATGCCGTACGTGCCCACTCTGTTGACCCACCACCGGTTTTGGATGCAGGCCACCTGGTATTTCCAGTCTTTCGGGAGCACTTTTATACGCCTGTGGGCCTTGGTGACATCCGCCTTGAGGATGATGAAGGTTTCCCCCTGTGTCGGCGGCTGCCACATCAGGGGTTCCCCCCTGATCCCCCCAGGGCGTTCCGTGCCCGGGGGGGTTGGGGGGAAGGGGGCCCTCCTATCAGGGCCCTCGGCACCTGGGAGTGGTCCCTTCCCTGAGGGTGTCGACCCCAGAGAGACGTCCAGGCCGCCGGAGGTATCCATCATCCCCCTGCCCCGATCAGGCCCCTCGGCCCTGGGGGGCAGGCTGGTGCTGTGGGGGTCCCTCTCAGGGCCCTCGGCACCTGGGGACTGCCCCTGCACCGGCTGGTGAACATCCCGAGGTCTCTCCTCAGTGCTCGAGAGCGTGGCTCGAAGTAGATGGGGATGGTCCGTCGCTGTCCTGAGCCAGTGGATGGCGTGGAGGCAGTCTCCAACCATCGGTGCAGTGGTCTTCTCCCCCGTATGAGCCTGGATGTGTGCGTTTGCTCCCCCTTTCGAGCCATCGTAGATCGTCCTGATCTTGTCTGACTCATCAATCCCCGCAAGGGGGCCCGGGCAAAGTTCCTCCGGTTTGCAGCGGCACCTCTCTGCCGCCTCCGACCGGGTGAAGGGCCCGTCCACCATGTCCAAGGCTCGTTCCTCGTAAAAGGTTGCCTCGATTTCACTGGCAAAGAGTTCAGCCGTTGGGTAGTTATCATGGGCCACCGGCGGGGGGGGGTCTTCCCCCAGCCAGGCTTCTCCCTTAAGCTCCTCCTTAGTCGGCCAAACTCCGGGGGAGGTCAAGGTAGGGTCCGAGACTCCCAAGGGGACCCCCTCTTTCAGTGTCAGGGGGAACTCCCAATCAGGGTCACCTGAAAGGGATGCCAAGTGCGAAACTAGGTCCAGGAGGAAGGGTTGCCCTGGGCATCGTTCATGGAGGTGCCTAGGTCCCAGGATAGCCCGCAGCTCATCGAGGTCGGCTTCCTGGAAGGGGTGTGTGGTGGCACCTGATGCCAGGGACATTCGGACCTTGTCAATCCAGGGCCGGGTAAGGGTCATGATCAGGGCGCCCAAAGTAGCCAAAGGGGAAATTCTCCGAAAGGGGGGGTTGAGCCTCTCGGGGAAGGTTTCCCCCCCCCATCCCTCAGGGGGCGTGAGCGGAAACCCAATTGGACAATCGCAACTCGGTCAATGAGGCGTGGGACCCTGAAAGCGGGCAGGCATTCGGGGCGGTCCAGGACCTGGTCCCCATGTTCTTCCTTCCCCAGTTGTTCCGCATCTCCGGCCATCGGGGGCATGGGAGATGGGAAGTCTGGGTTCATTGTTCCACGAGGGCTTACGGTGTCTGCCTCAAGGTGGATGTGCCCGTGCTGGCGGGGCTTCGGGGCATTCTTGCCTCCGGGCTTTGGGCCCTGGTGTGATGAGGAGGGACCGCCTCCCTGATTGGGTCCCCGTTTTCCCCGGGGGGAAGGGCCCTCCGGGGGGTCCGACCCCCGCCCCTTAGGTGGTTCCTTAGGGTTTCCCGGGAATTGTGAGGGGATCCGGATGTGCCCCGGCGCTGCGAGTGACACAGCGATGGCTTTGGCCAGGCCTGCCATCATATCCCAAGGGTATCTGCTAAGAGTCGAGGACTCGTTGGTGCCCACATGTGACTGATGCGTGCACCGCATTTGATCCCAATCCTGAATTGGGAGATCCGTGGCTAGCGTAGTGGCCTTCTTGACCAGCTGGCCCAGGCGGCACTGGTCGAAGGAGATTGCTGTCAAGGAGTTTGCCTCCATCCAAAGCTGCCCCTCCTCCGTGATCCAGAAGGATGAGCATTCCTTGGCTTTGGGCAGCGAGCTGCTCACCACTGGGTCCTCCGGGTGCTCCAAGAAGGACTTTGGCCCTGGCAGAGAAACCGCCGCTCTTGAGGCCCTTGCCAGGCTGGTGATGTACATCTGCCTCAAAATGAGGATACTGTCATCATCAAGCTGAGTCTGGGCGGCCTGGTCCAGGTGTGGGAGGCCCCAAAGTGTCTCTCGAGTGCGCCCTCGCACCGGGGTGGGGGCCCCCGGTTTTGGTATGTGGCGCAGGATGGACCATGTCCTGCAGTTGGGTCCTCCTCCAATGAAGACCACTCGGCCCTGCTTTGCTGCCGTGCAGAGAGCTCCATATAGCTCGGGTTGGAGCATGTCGTGGTTCCCTTTTGGTCCCGATCGTAGGATGTCTACCGCCACCACCATGCTGGAAAGGTGTGGGTAGTTGGCATGAAGACAGCTGTCCAAGGAAGTTGGGTCTTCCTTGCCTGCATAGAGCAGGACAATAATGGGCCCACTGGATGGAACTTTGGGTGATGTGCCCTGTGTCCATCTCAGCCGCTGTACCAAACGCTCCGGGATGTTCTCCATCCACGGGAAGATGTCCCATCCCGGTGACGGCTCCGTGGGACTTGTCAGGGGGGTAGCTGAAAGGCGCTGGCCCCCTTCATTCAGCCCAACCGAGCTCTTATAAAAAACCACCGGGTCCTGCTTGATGATGTTGGGCGCCGGAAGTGGGATCGGCTGCCTCCTGGGCGTGTTCCTTGGCGTTGCGGTGTGCTGCCAGTTATCCGGCAATCGGGCCTGCTGGGCGCGGCCCCCCGTGTCAGGGCCCTTGGCACCTGCAGGGAACCGTCCCGTCCCTGCCGTTTCAGGGCCCTCGGCACCCGTGGCTCGGGGCTGAGGCGCCGCCGTTGTGCCAGCTGTGTGGTTGTTCTGACCCCAGCGAGGGTGTTGTGCACGCTGGTTCTGCCGTCCCCATCCTTGTTCCGCCGAGGATGGCCGCCACCTGGCCTGTCCCCCCCCTGTGTCAGGGCCCTCGGCACCTGCAGGAGGGGGCTCATGTGCCTGCTTGGGGCGTTTGCGCCCCCTCTCGCCCCCCCGGGCCTTATCAGGGCCCTCGGCACCTGAGGCCTCCCGGGGGGTCGGGGTCAGCGCCCCTAGTCAACCCGGGCAGTCCTGCGGGAGGTGGTCTCCCAGGCAGATGCGGCCCGTTGCCAGGATGAGGTTGCACTTGTGGGTGCGTCCGCAGTTGCCCGGGCAGCGCCCGCGCATCCAGTTGTTACAGAACTGGTTCCCTTTCGGATCGGTGGCCGCCTGCTTGTTACCGCCCCTGGACGCCTGATTGTTCGGCTGGGGGGGCTTACCTTTCCCTTTGCTCCCAGGCTTGCCCCTAGACTTCCCCTTGCCCTTGGACTTGTTCTTGCCCTTCTGGGGTGGTGCGTAGTCCATGGATGTCCTGGTTTGTGGGCGGCCCCTGGAAAAGGTCCTGATCTTCTCATAGACCTCACGTGTCCAAAACAATGTGTCCTGCCTGACCGACAGCATGGCCGCCTTGAGGGTGCTGCCCTCGTGCATCTGCTCGTGAATCTTCCGCCATGCGTTGCGTTCGGCAATTGCCAGGACGTGGTCCTCTGGCGGGGGAAAACGGCCCCCGATGTCCTCCCCATAGAACCACTCGTACCAGCTC